AGATAGATAGGGTAGCTCTATAGATCGATAGCTGGGTGGTCGGTCTCGCTCGGTCGCTCGATCGGTAGCTCGGTCGCTCGGTCGCTCGCTCGGTCTGTCGCTCGTCGCTCTCTAGGTCGCTCGCTCGGTCGCTCGCTCGCTCGGTCGCTCGCTCCGCTCGCTGGTCGCTCGCTCGCTCGGTCGCTCGCTCGCTCGCTCGTCCCTCGCTCGTCGGTCGGTCGCTCGGTCGCTCGGTCGTCTCGCTCGCTCGCTCGCTCACGGGTCGCTCGGTCGGCTGCGCTCGCTCGGTTCGGTCGGTCGCTCGCTCGGTCGGTCGCTCGGTCGTCGGTCGCTCGGTCGCTCGGTCGCTCGGTCGGTCGCTCGGTCGTCGCTCGCTCGGTCGGTCGCTCGCTCGCTCGGTCCTCGCTCGCTCGCTGGTCGGTCGGTCGCTCGCTCGGTCGCTCGCTCGGTCGCTCGGTCGCTCGGTCGCCTCGCTCGTCGGTCGCTCGGTCGCTCGCTCGGTCGCTCGCTCGGTCGCCTCCGCTCGCTCGGTCGCCTCGCTCGCTCCCGGTCGCTCTCGCTCGGTCGCTCGCTCGCTCGCTCGGTCGCTCGCTCGGTCGGTCGGTCGCTCGGTCGCTCGGTCGCTCGCTCGCTCGTCGGTCTCGTCGGTCGGTCGCTCGCTCGCTCGGTCGGTCGGTCGCTCGGTCGGTCGCTCGGTCGTCGGTCGCTCGGTCGCTCGCTCGGTCGGTTCGCTCGGTCGGTCTCTCGCTCGGTCGGTCGCTCGGTCGGCTCGCTCGGTCGCTCGCTCGTGTCGTCGCTCGCTCGGTCCTCTGTCGCTCTCTCGCTCGGTCCTCGGTCGCTCGCTCGCTCGCTCGGTCGGTCGGTCGGTCGCTCGGTCGGTCGGTCGCTCGGTCGTCGGTCGCTCGCTCTGCTCGCTCGTCGCTCTGTCGCTCTGTCGCTCTCTCTCTCGGTCGCTCGCTCGCTCGCTCGGTCGCCTCGGTCGATCTCGCTCGGTCGCTCTCTCTAGGTCGCTCTCTCTCTATCGCTCTCTAGCTCGCTAGGTCTTTAATTGAACCTCATTTGGGAATTGTTTGCCTTGGACAGCAGGTTCGACCCCATATTTTACGAACAGGATTCAAATATTTATAGTGAATATATGCGTTTTTCAACTGGAACCCAAAGACCTCAACATTTGTTATCGTTCCAACAAATTCTGAACCAAATATTTGGAACAGTGCACTTCCTCAATGATGCTGTACACACCCAAGGCCTATTTGAACTAAAGGAGTAAGATACAAACTGATTTTTTATTTATTTCAATCCTCAGGGTTGGCGAGAACAGTCTTTCTCTTTTTTCTCTCTTTCACTTTTGTGATGAGTAATTGTTCTTTACCAATATGTCTCCTGGAGCATTATGACTTATTCCAACAACACATGATTGGACCGTTGTTTTTCTTGGCATCTGCTGCAATGTTACAGTCTCTATATCGTCACCTCATCTGTTTGTCAGCACCTTATTACTTCTCGTCCGCCTTCTCCTCTCCTGCTCAGCCTCCACTTCTACCAGAACAGTTGTATACTTCCTGCTCTGACGCATAGACTGAGGTTACCCTAGAGATGAATGCACAGCGGTGCTTATCATCCGACGGACTGGTCTCTGATGAACTGCCATTAATTGCCTTTGTGTGCTGAACACTAGCGAGTCATTCTCACTTCTTTGGTCTTCCATTTGTTCTGAGATTTAGGCGTACTGCTGAGTCATTGGTTGATTCAGAGAAAGGGCAGATCACAATGGCATGCAACTTTGTTTTTCTGTGAGTCAGTCTGACTGTGTGAGTAAGAGACTGAAAGCCCATATCCATTGTTGTACTCGTCAGAGCCAGGACATGTAACCTGGCCTTTGCACATTGCTGCAAATCGTGCCTTCTAACAATACATGATGGTATTTCATGCCAGGACTGACCAGCTCAGTCCAGTTCAAACACAATAGTAAGCCATGTTTTCTCCATTATCTATATCGGACTGAGCGTCGCTAAATACCTTTTTTTGAGGATAAACACATCGCGAAAGTACGGAAGAAAATATATTTGAGATCTGACCAATAGTGATTTTTAATCTGTTTAAAAAAAGTCAAGTCAAGTCTTCAATTCTGAGATTTTCCGACGTTTCTTTTCCTCAGAAACTTGACTTTTATCTCAGAAACCTAACCATTTTTTTTTTTTTTACTTTTGGTCTCAACCCAAAACGAATGTTCTCATCTGGCCCTAATACTCTTCCCTACGAAAGCCTGCCAAATTGCACCAAGATCTTTTTTTCAACGATCGGCAATCTCAATTTGGGATCCTTAGTTCATTTACTGTACTGAGTCAAATTTTCCCCAAAGTCAAACTTTAAAGTGATTGAAATCAGCAATCTCACTTATTGACTTGCCAGCATGCGTCCGTGAACAACCAGAGAGATTCTGACCATGTTTCATTCACAATATATCCAGTTGTGAATGATTTTAAAAGTCACTGAAATGAGGGTCCCTTGTTTAATTCAGGGCTTATTATCCCAGTGTTGTCCTCTCAGCCTCTGTCACTTGTGGCCATTTTTCAATGAGTGGCAGACTGGTTTTAAATCGGATGACTGGAGCGTCCTCTGCAGATCGTGTCAAGGTCACATCTGGTCCTGCCGGTGCCATCTGCCTTCATGAGTCAGCAGAATATGGCTTTAAGCACACAGTCATTACCTGAAGGACTGTCTGTCAACACGTGCACACCGCTCCTCGTAGAAATACACCGAACGTATATCTGCCTCTCTGTGGGTCTTGGAGCCGTAATTGAATTCCAGCTTCTCTTTGAATTTATTAGCATCCGGCCTTCTCTCCGGCTCAGATCTCCCTCCATGTCTTTCTCTCTCTAAATGAAAAGCACATATACCTTGCTCTTTTATATCAGAAGAGTACTTCAAGCTGCTCATATTACCTCTCTGTAGCGAATGTGAAGTATGTGTAGGTGGTTCGATGCATATTTATTTCCTTTTCAACTATGCTCTGGTTTTTCAATTACAGAAATAAGCCTATTTTCTGTATGCTTACAAGTGGTACATTATAGGCTGTAATCAGCATAATAATCCCATTTCACATGTATGTGAACCAGAGCAGCTAATAAATAGAGCCTGGTTTATATAGCACTGCACGCACATGTGATTCGATTGGTCTTTGAAATGTAAATGCAGTTATGTCTTCACGCAGCTTCCACCTTCCACTTTTCCTAATTCACTTCGGTGAAGCGTTATTGGAAAGACTTTGTAAAACAAAAATCGTGCCAGCAAAGCATATTTTTAAACAGAATTAGGTATGTAATATAGAAATGAATACATAATAGTAGCGGTACAAAGAGCGGTTACTGAACAGAAGGGAAATGATGTGTGTAAAGGAAAGACTGGTACAAAAAAGTATTAATTGGCAACCTGCTCCAGTAGCTAATTGGGAATGACTAATCGTAGTGTGTGTGTGGGAGGTTTCAATTTTAAAATGGGTTTTATGGATGCATTTTATCCAGGAGGTGAAAAAAAAAAACCTACATTTGTCCGATTCTGTCATTATATCATTCTTGGATACTGACTATCATCATGGTCCATTTTTTAAGACATACAACACTCAAATATAGATTAAAAAAAAGGCAGTTATACCAATGTTTCCACAGAGGTGACTGGTATCGTACAAGCACTGAGACAACGGATTTGAAAGCAGCATAATGACAGAGTTATGAGAACCATTCAATCGGCAGATAAACTGGTACATCGGATTTCTCAAGAGAGCATGGAACGTGTTGACTCGTCGACTATGTTTCCACCTTTCCTCTATCAACAAATGCATTTCCTAAAACCTTATGAATGACTCTATGAATAAAAGTGATTGTATGAATCTCTCTCTCTCTCCTCTCTCGGGGACTCGGAGGGCCGTAAGCTGTGAGATTGTTGATGCTTTTTACGCAGATGAATTGTTCTACTAGTATAGTTTCACCAAGGAGAGTTTAAATAGGCTAAGTAAAGGAAAGACTGGTACAATTTTTAGCAATTGACAACCTGCTCCAGTAGCTAATATTGGGGATGACTAATCATAGTGCATTTTAAAAATGGGTTTTATAGATGTATTTTATCCAGGTGGTGAACAAAAATCAAAGTCAAAAGTAAATGTTATTGTCAATCTCAAAATATGTTTGTACACACAGAAAGATCAAAATACTGTTTCCCACAGTCCCGAGGTATACAAAAAAAACACACTTTAAAGCTGGGGTAGGTAAGTTTGAGAAACCGGCTCGAGATACACTTTTTGTTATATTCCATGGAATGCTCTTAACATCCCGATAGCAATGAATATCTGAAGTGCTTTGACAAAAAAATCCATAAAAAATGTAATCTGTGGAAGCAGTAGTACTGTAAAAAGTACGACCAATCATCTGAGCCGGCCCGGCTGAAATAACTGGATGGCCTACCTGCCTGTCAGCCTTCCATCTGTGCACAAACTTATCTCGTGCCCTCATTGGTCATGTGCGCGTTCGTGTGTGTTGGAGGAGGGGCTCTGTAAGGAAGTGACAGATATTCTCCGGTTGTGTATTTTCAAATTCTAGCGCACTCGAGCCGGTTTCTCAAACTTACCTAACCCTACCTTTAAAACACAAGAATGACTGTGTGTTTCTTTGGTTCCATTATCAAGTCATTCTAGGATACCGACTATGTTTCCGCATTTCCTATTACCCTATGCATGACTCTATGAATGAAAGTGATTGTATGAATCTTCTCTCTCTCTCTCTCTCTCTCTCTCTCTCTCTCTCTCTCTCTCCTCATCTCTCTCTCTCTCTCTCTCTCTCTTCTCTCTCTTCTCTCTCCTCTCTCTCTCTCACTCTCTCTCTTCTCTTCTCTCTGGGTCTCTCTCTCTCTCTCTCTCTCGTCTCTCTCCCTCTCTCTCTCTCTCTCACTCTCCTCTCCTCTCTCTCTCGTCCTCTCTCATCTCTCTCTCTCTCTCTCTCTCCCAGGGAATCGGAGGGCCGTAAGCTGTGTAAGAAAGTGAAGGTGGACCCCAGCTCTAAACATGGAGGAGCAGAGCTGCTGCATTATAAGTGAGTACCCAGAACCTCAGCTGGCTGTCAATCACTCACCCACAGCTCAGTGCTTTCTGGAAGGTGGAACCGTGTTCTCTGAATGATGTTGTTCAGCTTTTTCCTCCTGCCGTTGTGAGCTCTGTGTCTGCTTTGTGTTGCAGAGATGGGACGTTCCACACCGAGTACAACAGACCCGCCACCTTCAAGGTAAGTGCTCCGCTAAAACCTGACATTTTTAAACCAGGGGGGGTTATTGTCTATTCCAATTTCAAAGTTCAGTGTTGGTTATTTTATAAGACTTTCCTGAGTAGTAGTGCAGTGTGTCTGTGTACTTTTTGGATCACCATAATACCATATCTATTTTTACTTAAATGACACATTTTGTAATTCGTTTTTCAAAATTTGACCCCTTACTTTCCAATTACACTCCTGAGATATATATTGTCTATTTAGGGTATACATTTTATATAATATAACACCAATATCACACCTATATTACACCGTTATTACAGCATTACAACAGACATATTGCACTGTGATTACTAAATGATTACACCCATACTACACTGTTATAACACCATTATAACACACTTATAACACCATTATAACACCCATATCACTCTGTTATTACACCACTATTACACACTTATAACACCATTATAACACCCATATCACTCTGTTATTACACCACTATTACACACTTATAACACCATTATAACACCCATATCACTCTGTTATTACACCACTATTACACACTTATAACACCATTATAACACCATTATAGCACCCATATCACTCTGTTATTACACCTTCATTACACCAATTTTACATCCATATTACAAATATACGACACCCATGTTACAGTGGGAAACATTTGGATTATAACTATTTCATAATAATCATAATAAAATATATTTTTAAAAGCTTGAAGTTATTGTTCATTTTGTAGTAAATTTAACAAGATAAAGTGCTGCTAATATGTCAAATAAAATGCTTCATTTAGTAACATATTTAAATTAGGTTGTTTTCTTAGTCCTTTTAAGGATCATTATAACTGGCCATACTAATACAAATTAAAACAATAATAATAATAGTCTGATACTGATATATTCTCTGTGATGTTATCGTGCCGGGAAAGTATCATTCTGTTGCAACCTTATGTATGCTTTTGCTTAAAAGACCGTAATATGTCAATGTTTTGTTGCCAGCTTTTTTCCGATGCCTCTAAATAGCCAATAAAACGTTATTGCAGGTTAAAGGTGAACATACTCTTGCATATTTCCTGACCTATCTGGCGTCACCTTCCACATCCAGCCTCCCACACACACTCAGCAGATTACTCTATAGCCTCTTGACGTGTTTATCGTGGCACCGCTCCATCTGTTACATCCATGAATCAGAGCAAAACATCTAAATGGCAATCATTCAGCAGCTCTCCTGCAGCATCTGAAGGTATCTACGTGGTCTGATAGATATCTACTGCCTGTTGAGGATGTTAGCCTCAGGGGAAATCAATACTTAAATCCAATATTTCCACAGACTGTCCACTGTCGTAGCATTTGATAGGCTGGGGAAGCACACTTAACATACAGAACATCTTTCTAGAGATGCATTTTCTTTCTTTGGCAAACCAAATATAGTACATGACTACAGTATTTAGAGAGCATGTAAATCACTCAACAGCCATGTATCATTATATAGTTTAGCCAGATTACAGAATAAACTAAATAAACTCACTACAGCTGTTATTTAAGCCGCAGATATCAACAGTCCCTCTCATTAAAAGTGCCCTCTTTGACCTCAAGACCCAAGTTTGCATGTCATGTAATGATTTTATTTTGCATGAATAGCCCTGAAGTTATTGTCGAAACAGACTTTCTTTGTTGGAGTTCTTTAGAAATCCTCCGTCAGTAAATCTGGGAGCAATAGCTGCTTTAATATTCACTGTTTTTAAATTTATTCGTCTCCCTTGCGATGTGTTTCGCTCATATTTCTCTCACTGGCAGATGGAAAGGCGTAGAAAACAACAAAAGTCTCAGTTAAAAACATCCAGATGATATCTTCATAATCCTTTAATATTCCACCCGTGTCCACATTGTCATTGTTGTAGCGCTGCTGAATGAAATACTTCCTGCTGTCGCCTGCACAGACATATGGTGCATTATATTTACAGAGAGCTTTACTAAGCCCATTACCAGACACTTACAGGTAGTGAGATATCTCCGACACCTCCTGGATCGACGCACATGTTGGTCTGTGCGAGTTTCCATCTGCCGCTGCCTACAGCCTCCACTACGCTTAAGAGTTTCTTCTGCAATGCTTCGGTAAATCATCAGCAGTGCGGCTGCACCATTTGAAAAAAACTAAACAAATTGTGATCAGATATTACAATCACAATACAATACATGTTTCTCAATATGTTAAAAAAACAAGGGTTTGATTTATTTAGGAGGGTTTTTAACAACTAATAGGTTTTATTAAGTGTGTTAATTTAACATATTTAGCATTTAATATATCATATCTCTTATATATCTCTTCACACTGGCATATCCACTCTGATCACATCACATGTCCTCTGTTTTTATTGATTATATTATCTTGTTTTCGTCCGGTTATACCTTGTACGGCGACCTTGAGAGCCTTGAAACTCGCCCTTTTATAAATAAAATGTATTATTATTATTTAACAAATATTGTGCTTCTTTGATTGGATGTGTGCACTATTTAGATAGCATTAAATTAATTGTGCCGCCCTATCAGCAGTCATTCTGTTCAGGAGATTATTCTTAGGCCAACTGCATGATCTAAGTGTTGCCTTTGTTCATCATTTCTGACTTTTCTATCTTCTTTTGTCTCCATTCAGTCCATGGTGGCGTTCTTAAAAGACCCATCGGGACCCCCGCTGTGGGAGGAGAACCCTGAAGCAAAGGACATCGTCCATGTAGAGACAGAAAAGGTAAGAAGTGACTTAAAAAACACTTGTTTTTCTTCCATAACACTTGCGCTCCCTATTGGCTAGCGCTCCAACACATTGTAACGTGATAGGCTAAAGGGTGGTACATCTCTAAGCGGTTTGACCAATCACAACAGACCGGCCAGCTAACCAATCAGAGCAGACTGGGCTCTGGTTTCAGACAGAGGGTGAAAAGAAGGTGCTTGCAGAGCACAGGCAGTATGAGAAAAATAAGAGCTTTCTGAACATTAAAGCATGGAGACATGTAGAGACACTACATACTGATATACACCTGAACATCAGCAGGAGAGGACTCTTTAAAGTAGAGACACTACATACTGATATACACCTGAACATCAGCAAGAGAGGACTCTTTAAAGTAGAGACACTACATACTGATATACACCTGAACATCAGCAGGAGAGGACTCTTTAAAGTAGAGACACTACATACTGATATACAACCTGAACATCAGCAGGAGAGGACTCTTTAAAGTAGAGACACTACATACTGATATACACCTGAACATCAGCAGGAGAGGACTCTTTAAAGTAGAGACACTACATACTGATATACACCTGAACATCAGCAGGAGAGGACTCTTTAAAGTAGAGACACTACATACTGATATACACCTGAACATCAGCAGGAGAGGACTCTTTAAAGTAGAGACACTACATACTGATATACACCTGAACATCAGCAGGAGAGGACTCTTTAAAGTAGAGTCACTACATACTGATATACACCTGAACATCAGCAGGAGAGAACTCTTTAAAGAAGAGACACTACATACTGATATACACCTGACCATCAGCAGGAGAGGACTCTTTAATGTTGATGGACAGTAACTGTGATAATCAGACAGAGGAAGCAGGTAATGGGATGCAGGATCCAGCTCTCCTGTCCTGCTGAGGGTTTGATCTGCCTCTAAAGCTGACTCAGCAGGATGTCCACCTCTGCAACAAAACACCCACACAGGAAAGTACAATATCAGGGCTTTATCATCAAAGAGCTGCTCAGCGTGGTTCATGAAGTTTACAAAAAAGCCTGAAAAACATTTCCAGACAGCTCTCGTCCAGTTAGGTCAGATGGCACTCGTCTCAACCCCCCCCCCCGGGACATTCCCCTGACAACCTGACACACTCGCAGATATATACAGCATTTTGAAAACCCTGTGACTTAACGAACAGCAGTTCTGTTGGTTTCCACACGCTCGTCCTCTCCTGCCCTGAGGCTCGTTGAAGGTATCCACAAAAGATTGTGCTGAATGTGAGTTATTAGGAAGTATCCACACTCATGGAGGTGAAGAGGGGTAGGAGGAACTGTCAGCGGGGGGGGGGGGGGGGGGTCCACCTGCTGTCAGAATAACTGTAATGTGTCTGCTGATATGGAAAATACAGTCTGATAATTTGCTGGAAAAGCTGGAAGATGACGGTGTTCTTAGTTGTTTTAGAGCTCCATCTAAACGGAGGGATACTTAAAGACATCTTGAATTTTCTTGGACAAAGTTAGCCATTTGATTTACTGTACAAAGGCTTCTTGTCACGGTGAGGGTAAGGCTGCAGGACCTAAATTCAGTACGAAGATAGAGGAGGCGTATGTAGGAGTTTATACAAAAAAGGGGGTCCAGACCAGCTGACGTGAAAAACAGAAACACTAACGAGTACTAACCAGGGGACACAAGGAGCAGGAGCAGAAATGCAGACAGGAACGGGCAGGACCAAGAACATAAGGGAAGACAGACCTAAATACACACAAGACTAATCACAGAGACAAGACAACAGCTGGAGAGGGGCAGGTGAAACACACTCAGACAATCAGACTCTCGAGGGGGAAACACAAGAAGTTAAACCACACAAGACACAAGGAGGAAAATACATTTCAAAATCAAACTGGATCAATCAATACAAACCCATCATCATGGCACTTTGTGAAATTGTCCATCCCTATATGGAAATGCAGTCAGTATCCCAGAATGATATATCTATTGTGATATACACTCAGTATCACAATATATATATATCTGATATAGCATGTGTCCATTAAATAAAAAGTGTATATGAAACAACCAAGTAAGCCCCAAAGCCCCCGTCGGCGGGTCTTTTTTTTTTCCACAAATTTATTTTTTTATTTTTTTATTTTTTATTAATTTTTTTAATTTTAATTTTTTTTCTTTGAAATTATTCATATAACCCTTTTAGAAGTGAAGTTGTAGTCATTTGTTTTGGGCATGTCATTTTCGAGCCTGAAACCTGAAAAACAGGCTCGGGGCTTAACAGGTTAAAACCTATTTTTTTTAAGTCCTGTGTGAATTAAGCATCCGACAAATGAAAATAACTTCAATGCATACAGGTATAATCAGATAAAACAATTGTGTGATTAAGGTGATCATATCTTCTGCGAAATGTGATACGGCATGTGCTTGTTATCTTTACTTTAGACAATGTATAATGTTTCCTCACAGCCTCGATACATTATCATTATCTAATTACCCCCCAGCCCTTACTATACATATCTTTCATTCATAGATGATAAGGCTTGTTAATCATGTTCCCTCTCTCCTTCCTCTGAAGGACTTCAGGAAGCTGCTGAAGAGAGAGGAGAGGCCGGTGCTCATGATGTTCTACGCTCCTTGTGAGTCCTTATTTTCAAGTGCTGCCTCTCTGTACTGTGCAGAACATGTTGTGATCAAAAGACAAGAGCTGTTATTGTGCATATGTGAAGAGAGAGCATATATTACGTTCATATTAAAGGTCACCTATTATGCAAAATCCACTTCCTCATGTCTCTTCTACATCAACATGTGTCCCCTCTTCTTCATGTCTCTTCTTCATCAACATGTGTCCCCTCTTCTTCATGTCTCTTCTACAATCAACATGTGTCCCTCTTCTCATGTCTCTTCTACATCAACATGTGTCCCCTCTTCTTCATGTCTATTCTACATCAACATGTGTCCCCCTCTTCTTCATGTCTCTTCTTCATCAACATGTGTCCCCTCTTCTTCATGTCTCTTCTACATCAACATGTGTCCCCTCTTCTCATGTCTCTTCTACATCACCATGTGTCCCCTCTTCTTCATGTCTCTTCTACATCAACATGTGTCCCCTCTTCTTCATGTCTCTTCTTCATCAACATGTGTCCCCTCTTCTTCATGTCTCTTCTACATCAACATGTGTCCCCTCTTCTTCATGTCTCTTCTACATCAACATGTGTCCCCTCTTCTTCATGTCTCTTCTACATCAACATGTGTCCCCTCCCTCTTCTTCATGTCCTCTTCTACATCAACATGTGTCCCCTCTTCTTCATGTCTCTTGCTACATCAACATGTGTCCCCTCTTCTTCATGTCTCTTCTACATCAACACGTGTCCCCTCTTCTTCATGTCTCTTCTACATACCATGTGTCCCCTCTTCTTCATGTCTCTTCTTCATCAACATGTGTCCCCTCTTCTTCATGTCTCTTCTTCATCAACATGTGTCCCCTCTTCTTCATGTCTCTTCTACATCAAACATGTGTCCCCTCTTCTTCATGTCTCTTCTACAATCAACACGTGTCCCCTCTTCTTCATGTCTCTTCTACATCACCATGTGTCCCCTCTTCTTCATGTCTCTTCTACATCACCATGTGTCCCCTCTTCTTCATGTCTCTTCTACATCACCATGTGTCCCCTCTTCTTCATGTCTCTTCTACATCAACATGTGTCCCCTCTTCTTCAGTCTCTTCTTCATCAACATGTGTCCCCTCTTCTTCATGTCTCTTCTTCATCACCATGTGTCCCCTCTTCTTCATGTCTCTTCTACATCAACATGTGTCCCCTCTTCTTTATGTCTCTTCTACATCAACATGTGGTCCCCTCTTCTTCATGTCTCTTCTACATCAACATGTGTCCCCTCTTCTTCATGTCTCTTCTACATCAACATGTGTCCCCTCTTCTTCATGTCTCTTCTACATCAACATGTGTCCCCTCTTCTTTCATGTCTCTTCTACATCAACACGTGTCCCCTCTTCTTCATGTCTCTTCTACATCAACACGTGTCCCCTCTTCTTCATGTCTCTTCTACATCAACATGTGTCCCCTCTTCTTCATGTCTCTTCTACATCACCATGTGTCCCCTCTTCTTCATGTCTCTTCTACATCACCATGTGTCCCCTCTTCTTCATGTCTCTTCTACATCAACATGTGTCCCCTCTTCTTCATGTCTCTTCTTCATCAACATGTGTCCCCTCTTCTTCATGTCTCTTCTTCATCACCATGTGTCCCCTCTTCTTCATGTCTCTTCTACATCAACATGTGTCCCCTCTTCTTTATGTCTCTTCTACATCAACATGTGTCCCCTCTTCTTCATGTCTCTTCTACATCAACATGTGTCCCCTCTTCTTCATGTCTCTTCTACATCAACATGTGTCCCCTCTTCTTCATGTCTCTTCTACATCAACATGTGTCCCCTCTTCTTCATGTCTCTTCTACATCAACACGTGTCCCCTCTTCTTCATGTCTCTTCTACATCACCATGTGTCCCCTCTTCTTCATGTCTCTTCTTCATCAACATGTGTCCCCTCTTCTTCATGTCTCTTCTTCATCAACATGTGTCCCCTCTTCTTCATGTCTCTTCTACATCAACATGTGTCCCCTCTTCTTCATGTCTCTTCTACATCAACACGTGTCCCCTCTTCTTCATGTCTCTTCTACATCAACATCTGTCCCCTCTTCTTCATGTCTCTTCTACATCAACACGTGTCCCCTCTTCTTTATGTCTCTTCTATATCAACATGTGTCCCCTCTTCTTCATGTCTCTTCTACATCAACATGTGTCCCCTCTTCTTCATGTCTCTTCTACATCAACATGTGTCCCCTCTTCTTCATGTCTCTTCTTCATCAACATGTGTCCCCTCTGTGGAAAGAGACTCTGAAAGTTTCAGGAACAAAGATTCTCTCTCTTTTTGTCCTGATCCATTTATATAAAAACCTGTCTGAAAATGAGCTGATCAGATTGTGGACACTTTATGATGTCATAACGATGTTTTGTCTTGTGTAACCATTAGCCAATCAGCAACAAGGTAACCCCCCCCCCACCTTATCACCTGAATCTCCTCCTAGAGCACCATTGTGTTCTTTGTAACCAAATCTCTCTCAGAGGGGCGTGGGAGGGGCTCCTTATTTTCATCTAAAGTAACAGACAGAGAATCAGCACTTTTGAAACAGGGCTGAAACAGAGGGGATTATGGGTAATGCTGCAATGATCTGTTTGGTGTTTCAGCCAATCAGAGACAGGCTCTGGATATATCTGAGACCTATAATATATATTATCAAATCAAATCAAATCAAGTTTTATTTATAAAGCACATTTAAAAGCGATTTTTGGTCGAGCCAAAGTGCTGTACATGTAATAAAAACACATTACTACAATCACAATCATTTACAACAGAAATATAAAAAACACAGGGAATAGTCAGGTGTCATACTCCGCTCTGACTAGAAGGCCATATTAATGAAAAACAGTATAATAGGGACCTTTAAAACGTAAGAACTATGTTTTTTTATTTTATGGGAGAACATGTCCAGACTATATTCTCTGCTTCCTCAGGAGTTGTTTATGCTTTCTATCCAAAATGCTCGTTCAGAAATTAGAATGACTTTTAACTGAATAAAACATTCTTGAGAAATACTTTAAAATCCAAATTAAAGAATTGGAGCTATTTTCATATGTATGAAACTGCTTTAAAATTGCTCTACTTAAATATGAGGTCCCCTTACTTGATTTATTTTCCTTTAACTTGATTTTTTATGTTTTGTTTTTTCCCCATAAAAATGATATTGAAATGTTTTCTATAATCCCAATTAGTCTCTCCTGGTTCAAAACATTGAATATAAAGTAATTAAGTGTCAATGGTCAGTGTTTTCTCTCAGGTAAATTAATGAAACAATTAAAATTGATGAAACAAAATGGTGTTACGTGAGTGTAGAGTTAATTGTCTTGTCACCTCATGGTTAGTAAAACAGTATTATGGAGTTTCCCATGTGTTGTGCTCAGTTATTAAGTAAGGGATAATGTGCAGCGAGGCGGTCATTATGCAGAGCTCATACCGTGTTCTGTTCCTGTTAGTGTTGACTTCCTCTCTGCCTTCTTCTGGTGATTTGAAAACATCGTTGCTTGCTTTTAAAAGTAGCACAATTCATGATGTCAAACCTTGGGAAGTATCTAGATGTCCCTGCCCTAATGCCAAAGGAACTGGCAACTGAATATGTTTTGCCGTTTGATGTCTATGTCTGGAGCGTTGCGTAAAAAGGAGGGTTTCTGCCCCGTTACTTCTCCGCTGTTTTTCTTGTCCCAGGTCGAACAGTTTGCTTTTCGGCCAAACTGTATACAGTTCAATCGACCGGACTTCTTTCTGCAGATGTGAGCGTCCTTAACAACGGTCAATAAATCCTTGACAGCGGTCTGTCTGTTCTGGATTAACAACGTGTCACGTGTTCTGAATTGACCAATCAGAATCGAGTATTCAACTAAGCCATGTAATAAAGTGTGTTGTCAGTGCGTCACCTCTTTCACTGCCGATGACACAACGCAAGCTGCTATTGACAAAAAAAACATCCCCTCTGTCAGATTATGGACATTTTGTTGACAGTTGCATTGATGCTGTCAGCGCGCTGGTTCCCATCGACTTCTCTGTCATAACTTCTTTTCGTGATTTCTATCTTTGTTACAGGGTGCGGTGTTTGTAAAAGGATGCAGCCCGTCTTTCAGCAAGCAGCCACAGAGACCAAGGGGACATATGTAAGTCTGCTCACTTGTTTCACTGCAATAACTGATCTGTGATCTGCAGCTCTGAGGTTTGCTGATTACATGAGATGTGTCTGCTGTGGATGTCTGGATTGTTAAGTTTGGCAGTCTGCAGGAGAGCAATCTGTCAAACTGGCCTCAATCAAAGCCTTCCCTTGTTGTACTTCCTGCTAAAATGACCACCAGTACATTGTCGTCACCAGTACACTACCCTTGAGCTTCAATATCAGGATCCATGTGTATCCTCTCAAGAATGGAAGTAGTCATCACATACAGAGCATTTGGTACAACTAGTTCCTGAACAGTGTCCATTTCATTTCAAACCTTTATTTAACCAGATTGGTCCCATTGAGATCATAAATCTCTTTTTCAAGGGAGACCTGCAATTTCACAAGCTTCACATGCTGATATACAAGAGGGAGTTGCACAGTCACAAGATGGAGGAATACCGGTTCTTAGGTAATCATACATCCTGTCATGTACAAAATACTGAGTTTTTCTCAAAATGTTGGCTTTTTTCTCAAAATCTCAAAATTCTGACTTTCTCTCAAAATTCTGACTTTTTCTCAAAATTCTGACTTTTTCTCAAAATTCTGACTTTTTCTCAAAATTCTGAATTTCGCAAAATTCTGACTTTTTCTCAAAATGTTGACTTTTCTAAAAATTCTGACTTTTTCTCAAAATGTTGACCTTTCGCAAAATTCTGACTTTTTCTAATGAAAATCCGATATTTTTTCTCATAATTCTGACTTTTTCTCAAAATCTAAAAATTCTGACTTTTTCTCAAAAAATCGGACTTTCGCAAAATCCTGACTTTATCTCAAAATAATACTTAAAATTAATAATAATCACTCGTCACCGTCAACTAGTTCCTGAACAGTGTCCTCCTTCACATGCTGATATCCAAGAGAGGGAGTTACACAGTCACAAGATGGAGGAATAGAAAGCAGTATTCAATGTTTACTTCAGATTAGCTCCACGTCAGAAATGATCATGCTTGTCATATGTCTATCTCCATAGAGGCTGAATCATCATGTTAATCACATAGCTATCATATGCCTAAAACAGTCCTGATGCTCTTCTAGGTAATCATACATCCTGTCATGTACACAGCTACAGTTGGGATACCTTTGTTATCATGTGGACTCTGATATTGGAAGAGGACATTCAGTATTCAGGACACCCCTCTCTGCTGGACTTCATTTAAACTTTATCTGTATTTTGACAAACCAGAACAATCACAGTAGTTCCTTCAAAAGTCTTCCAACCTTGCATCTCAATCTGTTTTAAATTATTTGAGTAGTTGATATCATTTTGCAGGTTTATAATTATTGAATTCATTTATTTTTTACCTGGCACCGCATCCACAATACACGGCTAATGTAGTTCTAGCTGAAGACCACCACCTAAATATATTGAATATCAGTTTAGTCCGTCCAGTCTTAGTGTTGCTTCCTCCTCCCTCCTGTATTTATCATGTTTTCTTCTCCTCCCTGGTCTCAAGGGTCCCCTAAAGACCTGTGTTGTCAGTTTGCAGACAAGCAGTATTACAACAGCAACTAAAAATGGGGGGGGCTCTGTTTCCAGCTGTGGTAACGTTTTCCTTAAAAGCACTGGAGAGATGCCAGCACAAAAGCAACCAGAGGCATATGTGATCAGCTAGGGAAACAAAAGCTTTGTGTTCACAATCACTTGAAGCACCCTGAAGAAGAGGGATCTGAGGGTGTCTGACAATAAGAGAGCAGCTGCCTGAGGAGACCGTGAAGTAGTGCTTGCCTCACACAGAGGAGGAAAGGATAATTAAGTGCATGTTTGTCTGATTATGGAGCATTTTAGCTTGTGAAATGTAAGCCTCTTAACTGGAAATTAACAGTATGCATACAAGTTCCCTGCTCAGAACACAAAGGGGTTTGTTTGCCAGGCTGAGATGGATTATTGGAGGCGTGCCAGTTATTACAAGAGACTACGGAGAAGTGACAGGTTTGAATACTGAGTTAGTGCTCAGCAGAGTTGTACACATTACTCGCCTCTGTGTCATAGAGACTGGAAGATGTAAGGTCAATGTCTGAAGTGTTGTGTGCAGTCAGGTAGATATATCTGAAAAGACTCAAGAGGACAAAGACTCATGGACATTTTGAAATCTGGGAAATGTCAGATTTATTTTAAATACCATAAATATACATTCTTGGGATGCTAAAAAGTTGACACAAAGGCAGAGGCTGTATATGTACACATTATAACACGCTAAAGATAAACATTCACGTTTTATTTCGTCTGACTCACGGGATAGACTGAAACAGCGTCATGGAGATGTATTTATTTGTATTACTAACTGCACACACTAGCAAGTTAATGTGAGTAAACTAACATCATTACATACTGAATGTTAGCAATCTATAAGCATTTTAAGATGCTTACATTAGCATTAAAGTACACTAACAATATCCTGCTAACATTAGTATTCCACCCAGCTGAAGGTTAAGCATACTTGCCAACCTTGAGACCTGAGAAATCATTTCAAAACCACAGGGGGGGGGGCGGTTGCTAGTGGTTCGCCGGAGCTGTTAGAACTCCTCTCCCACGTGTATCACCCCCCGGGGAACTGACTTTTAAAGATGACACCAACATCTACACATGCTTATTGTTGTTGTAAGTGCAATGCCTTGCTGCCTGTAGCACCATCCTTGATGGAGCACATGTGTGGGCTGGTGAGTGAGCAGAGGGTCGAGTTGTCCATTCTTGTTCTGTTTTCTGTGACTATCGTCCTCATCATGCTGAACACCCTCTCAGAGTTTCAGTTGCTCGCGCTACTAAAGATAGGCGCTACCATGGAAACCAAACAATGGTGTAGCTGTATTAAAGTCCGAGTGGAAACAGTCGTGAGTAAATCAGATTTTGTCAGAAATAGGAAGAAATGCAGGAGAAATATGACCCCGGGAGGAAACCGGGAGAGGGCAATGAAATCGGGAGTCTCCCGCGAAAATCGGGAGGGTTGGCAAGTATGAGGTCAAGGCTATATGATGGCATTTCAAACAAAATCTGTCAATGTTGAGCAGCTTAGTCAAAATGCCTTGTATTTATGTATCAACATTACCGTTCCCGATGCACAACCCCAAGGACAAACAAAAAGTCTTTGTCCCACAAGTTTAAAATCAAAAAATACATCTTTACATTAATCTAAAAATGTAGAGCACTCCTAATGGGGAGGGTGTTTTGGGTTTGATGTTGTTATACGCATCTTAATGTGAAAAACATGGAAAACAAATAAATTGAAAACTGTTTAAAAAAACACTTAATTAAAATGGTAAGTTTGCTGCACCCAATTAAAGGTAGCTCTTGTCTATAAATATATTTTGTACATTAATCACGTCCACAAAAGGGGGCTTATTTATTTAATTGTGTTATCAAGTTAAATGTGATTACAGTTCGCTCATCAACATTCATTTGACCTACAGCGCAGTATGTCCTTTCCCAATGAAGTCTCTTTTCAATCATTGAGTAATCATACTTTCATTACGGAGTCCTCTGACCATGGCTCACCTGTTTTCATGTCCTTTCTGTTTCTTGTGTCTCTGCTTTCTCCACCTCTCTGACAGCAAACACCTTATTTCCCCCTTGACGTTGTTTTTCCTCCAGGTGCTGGCGGGGATGAATGTTCACCCGGCTGAGTTTGACGGCCTGAAGCAGGAGTACAACGTCAAAGGCTACCCGACTTTCTGCTACTTTGAGTGAGTTGGAGTCCTCTCATCCGTCTCACTTAGGGCTCAGCCTCACTTCCAAGGCTCAGAACATCTGAGTCGGGACACTTCAAACAGAAAACGCCAGCGCAGAGCTCTTAAACACTGGCAGACAGGGGGGGTGTCAGACGTACAATTTGCCAGGGAGGTTCAGAAAATTGGTGTGAAGGAAAAAGTTTCTCAGTATATTGGACAAAGTAATTTCACATGAGGAAGTCAAGGATGTGAGAGCTATTGTCGAGGAGCATGGAGTTCACTCAGGAGGTGCTGTATTCTTGGATATGAAGTAGAGCTGAAGTGAATGGAAAAAGTACATTTTGATTGTTGACTCGTTGTTGAAGCCATTTATCAAACAAAATAGTTAATAACCCCTTCCTTCATGCTCACCAATTGCTAAAGAGACCCTTTTATGCTTTTGGGGGGTTTCCCTTTCCTCTAATGTGTAATGTAGGTTTTAGTGCATGTAAATGGTCTGCAATATCGGCGCTTTCACACCGGAGTCCTTTTACCCGTACTTTTCCCGTTTAGTTCCGTTAGTGCCTGGAATTTTGCGTTCACACCAAAAAGAGTACTTTTACCCCCATTTTTAGTGCCTGTTGAGAGGTGGTACTTTCCTGGGGAGAAAAAAGTACCAATTTCTATTGGCTGGGCGAATTGCAAACCACGCCCCGTAAAACTCGGAAAAGTTTTTTGAAGCCGCCATTGTATTTGCTGGCATTAGCATTATTAGCATTAGCATTAGCCCCGCGCACCAACGGAGAGAGACTAACTTATGGCAACACAAAAAAATACATGGGAGAGGTGGAGATGAGGAGGTGTCGGCGTTCTGGCGATTTACTCGGAAGACTTCAGTAGAAGCTGCTGGGAGTCCCAGCAGCTTCTACTGAAGCCAGTCCCCAACTCCGGGGACTTCCGGCCGGGGACCTCCGGCGGCAGTATACGCCGTGAAGTTGTTTGCGGCCTGCCAGTAAACCCAAAGCAGCAGAAGAAGAAGAAGTGACGTCAGCGGCTTCATTTGCGTAATCTTCCCTCAGGGAACTTATTCCGGTGTGAACGCGATCGGCTCTTTAGTTCCATGGGGGAACTAAGTGCTGGGAACTAAGTGCTGGGAACTAAGTACGGCAAAGTACTTGGTGTGAAAGCGGCTACTGGCTAAAATCCCTGTGTTTAATTCAGAGAGTTTCTCTTCCACACATTCCCCACCCTGCCTGAAAAGCCACCATTGGACTCCTTTGATCACTTCCTGAACAAAGTGACTTCACTATGTAACAGCCAATATAATAACTGTCTTAATACAAAACAAAAATGTTCTTAAACCTTACTTAACTGGTTATATTTCTACAACATGTGTTTTATTTAAAGGGAATACCCTACCTAAACCTTTCTTCTGGATATTATAAACTCGCTGAAGTACAGTTGTAGTAAATACTAAAGCTGTAGTCAATCAAAGAAAAGGCATTATAGTAGAAAACTGACTTTAACGAGGACTGTATGCTCCAAAATAATGGATTAAGAAGTACGTTTTGTGTAGCGGTAACACTCATGCTCCTATTGGCTAGCGCTCCAACACATCCTACGTGATAGGCTGTTGACCAATCACAACAGAGCCGGCCAGCTAACCAATCAGAGCAGACTGGGCTCTGGTTTCAGACAGAGGGTGAAAAGAGGTGCTGCAGCACAGGCAAAGAAAAATACCAAATATTTACAAAAGTTTTCTTCTTGCACTTCACAACCCTATATTTTCTGGCAGAGCCTTTTCTTCAGGAGCCACACTGAGCCATCGCAGCTGCCCATTGAAAACTCAGTGGGGCTGCATTCCTTCACACAGAGCTGTTGTCTGCCCAAACACTCAAGATGAGCCAGTGTTTTAAATAATTAATACGCCAGACTAAGTAAAGGCTTTAAAATACCGTGCCAATGTTTTTTTCATCTCAAAGAACACTTTAAATTGTATCGATTTAGCGTTTGGCTTCAGCGTTTCCCCTTTAGTGTTTGAAATGCTGTTGGTTAATCTACTCATTTCGCTTTACTACTATAACATTGAAGCCACTTACACAGTAGGGGCTGAGAGTGAGACTGATGGTGTTTGTTAATGCAGAAACCCCCCAGCCACAGCATTACTATCCTCATATTTACAGTGCTGTTCACATTGTGCTTCATAGCTGCCGCTCTGTTCTTCTTATTCCTCCTGCAGCAGCTGTATCACCCTCATTTCCACATTAAACACTCTCTCATTCTAGTCTGGCCTTTTAATTAGACCGGGACTGATTAAGTGCCTCTGTGCTAAGTCTGTGTGTGTGTGTGCATTTGCCCTCTTCCTGCACTTCTTTCTTTGTGTGTTGCTGTACACACACACACACATGCGCCCGTGCTGATCTGGAGCCAGCCCGTTAGCAGGGAGTGCATTAGTGTCAGCGCAGGGCTAGCTAACGACCAGCCGAGGCCATTGGCTTCAGTAATGAGCGCCTGGCTGATAAACAGCTAATCACTGCGGGGTGAATCGGCATCAACACCGCTGGAGTTATCTCTCCGCTGCAGGAGAGAGGTTTCAAGGTCTTTTACCTTTTCAGCCAGCCCCGCAGATTAAGGAAGCTTACCGGCCAATACTGCAGCATCCCTCCACTTCCTATCAATTAAAGCAACAATGAAAGTGAAACTATTTGAGCTTCTTTGTCTTTCCTGTGTCCTTTACCCAAGAATGACATTAATTCGACATATCTCGACTTAACTTTTAAACAAGGTTTCAGTGGATTTACAGCAGCGGAGATAAAACAGGTGAATAAAGAGTTGGTCATAAATCTCACTGATTGAATTCCAAGCAGCTCCTCTCTCCACCGCGGCATTCGGATCACTTAAAATGCGAGTTTTTAAGCTCAAAATCCAGTGTGTGTGTAATCGTGTATCACCTTTAATAGTGTCCGCTCTGTGTCTCCGGAGCTGTAACTGTGTTTGCAGAAAGCCAGTTACTCCTGACACTGATCCTCCTGCTCTGAGCCTTCTTTGAGTCGCAGCGAACAGCAGAGTAGATAAACTCATTCTTATGAAGGAAATATGCTCACATTTTTTATCTACTCAGAATTTGCAGCTGAGTAAATCGCTTTCAGCTCACTTTAAATGCATACAGAGGGGTCACTGGCATCTGTAATGTAACATTCAAAATACAAGGAAGTGGCATCAATCATATTTTAACCTTTCGTCAGATCTACATTTCATTTAGACTTTGAGCTGTTGTGTGTTTGTAACCAACACACATGAGCTGAATAACTTGGTTTTCTCAGTGTAAATGCGGGAGAGAAACTCCCTCTGGAGGGAACACTGGGATTTTAGCCTTTGCAGACCATTTACATCAGGGGTTTCAAACTCAAATACACAGTGGGCCAAAATAAAGAAATGGGTACTAGTGGAGGGCCGGACTGGTTCAATGTTTATTGCAGAACTTATTGAAATGAACTTATTGCACATATTCAACCTGGAACTAACAAAGCTTACATTATTGCCTATAAAAACAACATTAAACATTAAATAATCAGTTGCATTCATTTCTTATGGCTCTATCTGCAGTTTTTCCTCAGTCATTTCTTATCATTACATTTTTCCACAGGCCAACAACAGCTTCAAAAAAACTATTTCCCTCAAAGAAGAAACCAAACATGCCCTGTTGTCTCAAGAAACAAAGTGTAGAAGGAAACATCCATGTAAACTCAGTGTGCTGCTCTGTGATGCTAGCTCAAGCCAGATACTTGGCATCTCATCTTGGGTGCAAGGTCATCAATGTTTGGGGTCAGGCTCTGAGCTGAGGAAGGTGTGCGTGCAATATACCGGCGGGCCAGATCTAATAGTAATTAGAAATTATTCTGCGGGCCGAAATTAAATCCACCACGGGCCGGATTTGGCCCCCGGGCCTTGAGTTTGACACATGTGGTTTACATGCACACAAACTTATAGAACACACTTCAGGAAAGGTAAAAAAAGCATCTATAGGGCCCCTTTAATTATTTCTAGGTGTTGTATAGTCTTTAACCTTACAATACCAAATGCACCTTGGTATATTTACTAGGGCTGACTCTTTTTAAGATGGTTTATATAATTATATTTGACCAAATTGTCATTTGTTACTAATCATATGGAGAAAATGACTTCTTAATCCAGTACTTTGGAGCATACAGTCCTCGTTAAAGTTGGGTTTCTACTATAATGCCTTTTTTAAAATTGTATACAGCTTTAGTATTTACTACTACTGAACTTCTTAGAGTTTATAATATCCAGACTCCGGCCTTCACTCTCTGACTCTGTGGCAGAAACACTCATACACGCCTTCATCACATCCCGTCTGGACTACTGCAATGGAGTCCTGTCCGGGGTTCCCAGCAAAACCCTGGCCAGGCTCCAATACGTCCAGAACTCTGCCGCTAGGCTTCTCACCCGCACTAAGCCATGGCAACATATCACCCCCACCTCCACCCTCATCCACCCCCACCCTCATCCACCTCCACTGGCTGCCGGTCAAGTCCCGGATTCAGTACAAAACACTCCTCCTCACGTACAAATCCCTCCATGCCCTCTCCCCCCCAGTACTTATCGGACCTCCTCCATCCCTACACCCCCTCTCTGAGTCTGCGGTCCTCAGTCACGGGCCTGCTCTCCATCCCCCGCTCTCGCCTCCGAACGGTTGGTGACAGGGCGTTCAGTTTTGCGGCCCCCACCCTCTGGAATGCACTTCCTGCCGAGATCCGTAATGCTGCCTCCCTGGACATCTTCAAATCATTATTAAAAACACACCTGTTCACCCTGCGCCTTCGGGCCCTAGGCCTTTCTTGGTCCCCCGGCTTCCTTTTTAGTTTGCCCTTTGATTGTCTGTTTGTTTTGTTTGTCCACCATGTGCAGCGACCTTGGGTCCCTTGAAAGGCGCTATATAAATATCATTTATTATTATTATTATTATTATTATTATCCAGAAGACATGTTTAGGTAGGGTATTCCCTTCAAATACAATTGTAGAAATGTTGTAGAAATATACAATTAAAGTATATTTGTAGTGTTGTATGATATGACTATGACTGATTATTACATTGCCTGTGGTTTTTAAAAGTCTTTCAACCGCACCAATCCATATTCTTCCAATTGCTGACATGTGGTTTGGACTAAACCTCATTTTGTGCTCTTTTAGGAAGGGGAAGTTCCTTCACCACTTTGAGAACTACGGAGGCACAGCGAAGGATATTGCGGACTGGATGAAGAAGTGAGTAAAGTCTTCATCACTCAAGACGTGTTGAAGCGCAGACTGCAATATGTTTGTGTCCACAGCTGTTTTAGCTAATGAAAAGAACAGAGCTCTCAAACTTCAATGAGCAAACTGCTTTAAAGTCTCAGTGGACATTTTTGGCATCCCCTCTCCATTCTTCCGTGGTCTTCATCACACCTTTCCCTCCTGACCCTGACTCACCTTGACAGGGTGTCATCAATCTACACCTGCTCTGTCTCATTTTTCTTTCTCACCTCGCCTCACGCTCTGCCTGTAACCTGGTTTCTCCCTCCATGGCTTTGCTCTCCTGCATTCTCCCCCTCTTTCCTCCGTCGTCCATTTGTGTTAAAGCCATGACCGTCCATCGGGCCGCAACCAGAGGGCACGGAGCAGAGTTTTCACAGATATCACAGGAAACGGAGCGAGACAGGCAGAGGACATATGCCAGCGACGCTCTCTTTAACCCAGAGGCAGAGCAGGTCCCTTCCCCGTCCTAAACTTTTACTGCTCGGCTAATTCAGAGCCGCGCAGTGTGATTCAGAGAGGTCGCCAGGCAGGAAATCAGACGATCAATCTGCAGAGGTGGGAAGTAGTGGAGTACAAATACTTCGTTACTGTACTTAAGTACATTGTTCTGGTATCAGTACTTTACTCCACTACTTATTTTCCTGACGACTTTTTACTTTGACTTCTTACATTTTGAACAAAAACACCTGTACTTTCTACTTCTTACATTTTTAACACAAATACCTGTACTTTCTACTTCTTACACTTTGAACACAAATACCTGTACTTTCTACTTCTTACATTTTGAACACTAATACCTGTACTTTCTACTTCTTACATTTTGAACACTAATACCTGTACTTTCTACTTCTTACATTTTGAACACAAATACCTGTACTTTCTACTTCTTACATCTTGAACCCAAATACTTGAACTTTCTACTTCTTACATGTTGAACACAAATACCTGTACTTTCTACTTCTTACATGTTGAACACAAATACCTGCTGTACTTTCTACTTCTTACATGTTGAACCCAAATACCTGAACTTTCTACTTGTTACATGTTGAACACAAATACCTGTACTTTCTACTTGTTACATGTTGAACACTAATACCTGTACTTTCTACTTCTTACATTTTGAACACTAATACCTGTACTTTCTACTTCTTACATGTTGAACACAAATACCTGTACTTTCTACTTCTTACATTTTGAACACAAATACCTGTACTTTCTACTTCTTACATGTTGAACACAAATACCTGTACTTTCTACTTCTTACATTTTCAACCCAAATACCTGTACTTTCTACTTCTTACATGTTGAACACAAATACCTGTACTTTCTACTTCTTACATGTTGAACACAAACACCTGTACTTTCTACTTCTCACATTTCCCAAACAGGCTGGTTCCTTTAGTTTGAATGTGTGTTTGGTGGCATGATCATTATTATTTAGAGTCATTGCGTGCCTATTGATTTGAACACGATCCGTGTATCCATCATTTCCTGGTCTTCTCTAAAGAAGAGGGACCAATGAAAACGTTGTCATGTTGCCGTTGTTCAGCATGGAAACATTCATTAGCTAACAATGACATTATTGTTCTATTAATATAAAGGGAGGTCAGGTACTCTTTAAAGCAGCTGGTAGTTATGGGTACTTTTTACTGAAGTACATTTCAAAGCCCATACTTCTTTACTTTTACTTGAGTAAAGAAGTTTAGTCAGTACTTCTACTTTCACCAGAGTATTTTTAAACACGAGTATCTGTACTTCTACTTGAGTAAAGGACGTGTGTACTTCTGCCATCTGTCAGAATACTCACCTTGTTTTACATTGATGGATTGAGTATCATAACACCTCATAATTCAGTATGAAATGAAAGGAGAGGTGACATACAGGGACTAAACGGGGGGGGGGGGGTGGGAATCGGCCTCCATGCGAGCCTCATCACATCTGTGATCAGTTTGAGATGAGGAAAGATCTGCTTTTTCTCAAAGTTGTCAGGGTTATGTAATTTGCTGCATTCATATTTCGAGGCATTGTTTCCATTGTGCTCTTCTTGTAGCACTGCCTGCCTCAGGGTTTTCTATCTCCTCTCCCACGTGTATCACCCCCTACTTGTGTCTACATATTTTATGAAGTTTCTCTTGTGTTCAATGTGTTTTACCCCCCTCTAAGTTTCCTCCTCCTTCAACAGAGTAAGATATTATCCTTGGCTTTTTGCACTGACAGGAGTTTCTACACGTTAAAAAAAATACAGCTGTGACATTTGCGAAATAGGTTAGACTCTTGAAAATGTTCTTTTGAAAGCATGACGTTTCTTTGACATCTACTCAATATCAGAAAGGCGAGCAAAACGTGGAAGCAGAGATGAAGTTCCTCAGTGATCTCAGCTGTCCTCTGCAGCGCTGTTACACCAGGACATGATGGTTGTATAGATGCAACCAGGTGTCCTCTGCAGCGCTGTTACACCAGGACATGATGGTTGTATAGATGCAACCAGGTGTCCTCTGCAGCGCTGTTACACCAGGACATGATGGTTGTATAGATGCAACCAGGTGTCCTCTGCAGCGCTGTTACACCAGGACATGACGGTTGTATAGATGCAACCAGCTGTCCTCTGCAGCGCTGTTACACCAGGACATGATGGTTGTATAGATGCAACCAGCCGTCCTCTGCAGCGCTGTTACACCAGGACATGATGGTTGTATAGATGCAACCAGCTGTCCTCTGCAGCGCTGTTACACCAGGACATGATGGTTGTATAGATGCAACCAGCTGTCCTCTGCAGCGCTGTTACACCAGGACATGACGGTTGTATAGATGCAACCAGCTGTCCTCTGCAGCGCTGTTACACCAGGACATGATGGTTGTATCGATGCAACCAGCTGTCCTCTGCAACGCTGTTACACCAGGACATGATGGTTGTATAGATGCAACCAGCTGTCCTCTGCAGCGCTGTTACACCAGGACATGATGGTTGTATAGATGCAACCAGCTGTCCTCTGCAGCGCTGTTACACCAGGACATGACGGTTGTATAGATGCAACCAGCCGTCCTCTGCAGCGCTGTTACACCAGGACATGATGGTTGTATCGATGCAACCAGCTGTCCTCTGCAGCGCTGTTACACCAGGACATGATGGTTGTATAGATGCAACCAGCTGTCCTCTGCAGCGCTGTTACACCAGGACATGACGGTTGTATAGATGCAACCAGCCGTCCTCTGCAGCGCTGTTACACCAGGACATGATGGTTGTATCGATGCAACCAGCTGTCCTCTGCAGCGCTGTTACACCAGGACATGATGGTTGTATAGATGCAACCAGGTGTCCTCTGCAGCGCTGTTACACCAGGACATGATGGTTGTATAGATGCAACCAGGTGTCCTCTGCAGCGCTGTTACACCAGGACATGACGGTTGTATAGATGCAACCAGGTGTCCTCTGCAGCGCTGTTACACCAGGACATGACGGTTGTATAGATGCAACCAGGTGTCCTCTGCAGCGCTGTTACACCAGGACATGATGGTTGTATAGATGCAACCAGCTGTCCTCTGCAGCGCTGTTACACCAGGACATGATGGTTGTATAGATGCAACCAGCTGTCCTCTGCAGCGCTGTTACACCAGGACATGACGGTTGTATAGATGCAACCAGCCGTCCTCTGCAGCGCTGTTACACCAGGACATGACGGTTGTATAGATGCAACCAGCTGTCCTCTGCAGCGCTGTTACACCAGGACATGACGGTTGTATAGATGCAACCAGCCGTCCTCTGCAGCGCTGTTACACCAGGACATGATGGTTGTATAGATGCAACCAGGTGTCCTCTGCAGCGCTGTTACACCAGGACATGATGGTTGTATCGATGCAACCAGCTGTCCTCTGCAGCGCTGTTACACCAGGACATGATGGTTGTATAGATGCAACCAGCTGTCCTCTGCAGCGCTGTTACACCAGGACATGATGGTTGTATAGATGCAACCAGCTGTCCTCTGCAGCGCTGTTACACCAGGACATGACGGTTGTATAGATGCAACCAGCCGTCCTCTGCAGCGCTGTTACACCAGGACATGATGGTTGTATCGATGCAACCAGCTGTCCTCTGCAGCGCTGTTACACCAGGACATGACGGTTGTATAGATGCAACCAGCCGTCCTCTGCAGCGCTGTTACACCAGGACATGACGGTTGTATAGATGCAACCAGCTGTCCTCTGCAGCGCTGTTACACCAGGACATGACGGTTGTATAGATGCAACCAGCTGTCCTCTGCAGCGCTGTTACACCAGGACATGATGGTTGTATAGATGCAACCAGCCGTCCTCTGCAGCGCTGTTACACCAGGACATGATGGTTGTATAGATGCAACCAGCTGTCCTCTGCAGCGCTGTTACACCAGGACATGATGGTTGTATAGATGCAACCAGCTGTCCTCTGCAGCGCTGTTACACCAGGACATGATGGTTGTATCGATGCAACCAGGTGTCCTCTGCAGCGCTGTTACACCAGGACATGATGGTTGTATAGATGCAACCAGGTGTCCTCTGCAGCGCTGTTACACCAGGACATGATGGTTGTATAGATGCAACCAGGTGTCCTCTGCAGCGCTGTTACACCAGGACATGATGGTTGTATAGATGCAACCAGGTGTCCTCTGCAGCGCTGTTACACCAGGACATGATGGTTGTATCGATGCAACCAGGTGTCCTCTGCAGCGCTGTTACACCAGGACATGACGGTTGTATAGATGCAACCAGCCGTCCTCTGCAGCGCTGTTACACCAGGACATGATGGTTGTATCGATGCAACCAGCTGTCCTCTGCAGCGCTGTTACACCAGGACATGATGGTTGTATAGATGCAACCAGGTGTCCTCTGCAGCGCTGTTACACCAGGACATGATGGTTGTATAGATGCAACCAGGTGTCCTCTGCAGCGCTGTTACACCAGGACATGACGGTTGTATAGATGCAACCAGGTGTCCTCTGCAGCGCTGTTACACCAGGACATGACGGTTGTATAGATGCAACCAGGTGTCCTCTGCAGCGCTGTTACACCAGGACATGATGGTTGTATAGATGCAACCAGCTGTCCTCTGCAGCGCTGTTACACCAGGACATGATGGTTGTATAGATGCAACCAGCTGTCCTCTGCAGCGCTGTTACACCAGGACATGACGGTTGTATAGATGCAACCAGCCGTCCTCTGCAGCGCTGTTACACCAGGACATGACGGTTGTATAGATGCAACCAGCTGTCCTCTGCAGCGCTGTTACACCAGGACATGACGGTTGTATAGATGCAACCAGCTGTCCTCTGCAGCGCTGTTACACCAGGACATGATGGTTGTATAGATGCAACCAGCCGTCCTCTGCAGCGCTGTTACACCAGGACATGATGGTTGTATAGATGCAACCAGCTGTCCTCTGCAGCGCTGTTACACCAGGACATGATGGTTGTATAGATGCAACCAGGTGTCCTCTGCAGCGCTGTTACACCAGGACATGATGGTTGTATAGATGCAACCAGGGACAGAATTGCATCTTGTATTGCAGAAGAACAACACAAGCCGTGATCTGATAAGGCCTGTGTGCAGCTTCAGCCGCTGATAAACCCCTGATCCAGAGCTCTTTATTTATCACAGAGATGTATATTATTAGACCGATGACTTTCTGGATAAAAGGTGAATGCAGCACCTTGGTTGCACAATTCTAATGTTTATAAAAGATATGAAGTCTCATGCGGCTGCAGCACATGTGTTTGATGATAAGTAAGTGAGCAAAATGTATTTATAAAGCGCTTTTCCCAGACATAGACAAGGCATTAAAGCATCATATGAATCATAAAAGATGAAATGACCACACAAGCCACGTGTTAAGAAGTGCTAAAAACACAATAAAAACACATTTATTTAATCGTTTATTTGAAGAGGGACAGTGCACATTGATGAACATTTAAAACAAATAATGCTTTAAAAATGTAAACATGCCGGATTTTGTGTGTGTGTGTGTGTGTGTGTGTTGTGTGTGTGTGTGTGTGTGTGTGTGTGTGTGTGTGTGTGTGTGTGTGTGTGTGTGTGTGTGTGTGTGTGTGTGTGTGTGTGTGTGTGTGTGTGTGTGTGTGTGTGTGTGTGTGTGTGTGTGTGTGTGTGTGTGTGTGTGTGTGTGTGTGTGTGTGTGTGTGTGTGTGTGTGTGTGTGTGTGTGTGTGTGTGTGTGTGTGTGTGTGTGTGTGTGTGTGTGTGTGTGTGTGTGTGTGTGTGTGTGTGTGTGTGTGTGTGTCGTCATCAAGGCAGGGCTGCTTTGCTCCAGATGTGTGTGAGAGACACATTGGGTGGAGAAGGGTCTACAGCTGTGTCTGATGTTCTGCTTCGTACAGAGCCAGCTGGAATGTCGTCTTTCACAAGTTCCTCACTTCTGTTGCCCTTGTTGTCCCCTCTTCCTCCTTTCTGTCGTCTTCTTATCAAGTGTTAATAATGATGTAAAGCACTTTGAATTGCCTCTGTGTCTGAAAATGTGCTATATGAATAAACGTACCTTACCTCTTCCTCCTCCTTCAGCCCGCAGGCCCCCCAGCCGAAGACCCCCGAGGTGCCGTGGACGGAGACGGACTCCCCGGTCTTCCACCTGACCGACGACTCCTTCGACAGTTTCCTGGAGGAACATCCTGCCGCCGTCATCATGTTCTACGCCCCCTGTGAGTAACGGAGCACACACACATCACATTTACATCTTACATTATATATGATTTTATTTGTGACGTTGTCAAACACAGAAAGCATACATACATAGACCCTCACATGTACAATAAAGGGAGTAAAAGAGACCATTCTACCAGGGTCAACAATACCAACAAACAAGACCTTAAAGGTGGGGTATGTAATTCACTTCAGAAACACTTTTTGTTATATTCCATGGAATGCTCTTAACATCCCGATAGCAATGAATATCTTAAATGCTTTGACAATAAATACATAAAAAAATGTCATCTGTGGAAGCTGTAGTACTGTAAAAAGCACGACCAATCATCTGAGCCGGCCCAGCTAAAATAACTGGATGGCCTACCTGCCTGTCAGCCTTCCATCTGTGCACAGACTTATCTCGTGCCCTCATTGGTCATGTGCGCGTTCGTGTGTGTTGGAGGAGGGGCTCTGTAAGGAAGTGGCAGATTTTTTCCGGTTGTGTATTTTCAAATTCTAGCGCACTCGAGCTGGTTTCTCCAAAATGACATACCCCACCTTTAACTACAAAAAACAATATTGAAATAAAATCAATAATAATAATAATCAGATTTACATGTCTGTCCCGGGGGAAAGCAGGTTGAAAAACACAAAAAACAACCAAAGTGTTTGTTTGTTTTGAAAGAAATGAGTGGGGATGAAGTATTCATTGGTACTATCTAATTTAAGTCAAATTATGTTTGCCAATTAATTTCTTGGTGTCATGAAATGGTGAATGTAATGTCATTTTACCCTCACTCATCCTGTTAAAAAAATTTAATTATATAAAATAAAAAAAAGATTATTTTAATTATCAACCAATTATTTTATCATCACGGTGTCATAATGCAGTAATCATGAACATCACACGTATGCAAAAGACCCATACAGATATTATACAAACGGCACATTTCAAAAACAAATGTTTGGCATTGTTGAGGGATAAATTATTCATTGATCAGCGATATTATTTTGGGAATACAGCGTATTGTTTATGCAACAAAACAGCAGTGAACAGGGTTCATACGGTCATTAAAAACCTGGAAAAGTCATGGAAATTCAAAATGCAAATTCCAGGCCCTGGAAAAGTTATGGAAAACAATATCTTTCCCAAAGTTTGGGAAAAGTCATGAAAATGTAACTAAAGTTGCATCAAATATAATTTATATTTGATCTAATCGCCAAAATAGTAATACTATAATGATAATACATACTGTAAGTTATTTGTTTTACAACATGTTTCATATGCAGACCTTATTTTCCTGTTACATGTTATAATAAACCATTTTCAGTGGTACCGCTGAGAAAGAGTCATTTTTTATGGTCATGGAAAATTAGGTAAAGGTCATGGAGAAGTCATTGAAAATTAGGTAAAGGTCATGGAGAAGTCATGGAAAATTAGGTAAAGGTCATGGAGAAGTCATAGAAAATTAGGTAAAGGTCATGGAGAAGTCATAGAAAATTAGGTAAAGGTCATGGAGAAGTCATAGAAAATTAGGTAAAGGTCATGGAGAAGTCATAGAAAATTAGGTAAAGGTCATGGAGAAGTCATGGAAAATTAGGTAAAGGTCATGGAGAAGTCATTGAAAATTAGGTAAAGGTCATGGAGAAGTCATAGAAAATTAGGTAAAGGTCATGGAGAAGTCATAGAAAATTAGGTAAAGGTCATGGAGAAGTCATAGAAAATTAGGTAAAGGTCATGGAGAAGTCATAGAAAATTAGGTAAAGGTCATGGAGAAGTCATGGAAAATTAGGTAAAGGTCATGGAGAAGTCATTGAAAATTAGGTAAAGGTCATGGAGAAGTCATAGAAAATTAGGTAAAGGTCATGGAGAAGTCATAGAAAATTAGGTAAAGGTCATGGAGAAGTCATTGAAAATTAGGTAAAGGTCATGGAGAAGTCATAGAAAATTAGGTAAAGGTCATGGAGAAGTCATAGAAAATTAGGTAAAGGTCATGGAGAAGTCATAGAAAATTAGGTAAAGGTCATGGAGAAGTCATTGAAAATTAGGTAAAGGTCATGGAGAAGTCATTGAAAATCATTGGTGGAAAAGTGTATGAACCCTGAGTGAAACTTGAGTTTGGGAATGGGCACCGTACACATTTGAATTTTATTTGAATTGATAAATTGTTCAGTACTTTTATTTTCTTTGTCTAAAGAATAATTTAATTTCAGTTACAAGAAAACGGCATATGTTCAAATTTAGAAAAAATAAAACAAGCAAATGTTTGAAGATTACCTTAAATCATTAATACATTTAAAATATGACATTACAAATGTGTAAAATAAAACAGCGGATAGTTAATTAGTTTGTGAAACTGGCTGGGCACCGTTCACATTTGAGTAATGTCATTGTTATTTATTTAGAATACTTCACACACCACATTTAACTAAAGTCCATCTCGTCCCTGTAACCTCCTGCCTGTCTAGAGTTATAACGTTTGTATTATCCGTCACTAAATACTGAGGTGAACCTTATTTGCATCGAGTTTTAAAAATACCTCTCTTGCAACAGCTCAACAATTCTCTGACTCACTGTGACTTGAACGAGGTGTGATGTAGTCTTTATCTCTCTTGTTATCTGCAAGTGCTGCACAATCATGACACAGATGAATGCACATTTGCTGCTAACGGTATTTATAGCACCAGGAGAGTGTATGTGAGATCAGAATAAACTGCAACGTCATAATGTAGGGACATATCACAAAGTGAAACTGTGATATGTGTTTTTAATTGTTTCTGGAAAACAACTGAGCTCTCTGAATGATATAAACACAGTGGAATATTTGTTGTAGGATGAATTGACTGTGAGTTTTGATCTTTTCATTAATTAGATTGCCAGTAATAAGACATGCATGCAGAGATTTGCCAGCCTTGTCCTTTAATTAAAAACCCACTTTTCACCCTCAGAAATACAGAGAGTCTTCAGAAAGTCGTCTGGATAGTCAAATCTCTGCATCAGTGTGTGAGGAGCTTCACATTCCTTCCTGCTGTGTTAACCATTGCCAATGCTCTAGGGCTGAACTGTTAGTTAGTCACGCAAATAACATCAACGTCATCATCTGTTATAATAGTCAGAGACGGGGAATTAGGCTGGCTGCAGTAACTTTAGCCCTTTTGTATCTCATGATCACAGTGGAGCTCATCCTCACAGCAGATCCTTCTCTGCTGCCATATGGTTCACATGAGCCTGGTGTCAGTGCTATTCACGCACCATACTGCCGTTTCTGCAGATCTTTGTAAACATGCCAGGTTTTGTCAGTGGTTTAGATATCTTTTGTTTGGTCCTGCGTGAGAGGGAGCTGTAAAATCATGCAAATATATTCACCCTATTTAGAAACACATTGTGAGAGCAGCAGCCTCACGACACAATCCAAACTCTGGGTCTATTTTTGGACCTTTTTTTGTTTTTTCTTTCCGCTAACTCCATCACCTTCACCCACGGTTCACCTCCTCCCTCCCCTCCCCTCCATGCTCATATCATTACTTGTTAGACGCTTTTATCCAAAGCAACTTACATACTCAATACTGTGTAGCCAATCCCCACAGGAGCACTTTGGGGTGAAGTGTCTTGCCCAGGGACACAACGACATGCTGACTGCAGTGGGGTTTGAACCTGTGCTCCCCCTGATCCGAACACCAACGCAATAGTCCACTGCGCCACACGCCTATCAGCCTCCGCTAATAAACGAATAAATAACAAGAGCGTCCTTTTCCCTGGCGTTCACAATAATGACGATTAATTGTTTTCAAGATTTCATCACATACTTTGCTGCGGCGTGTGGCGCAGTGGGTTGTGCGTAGGTGTTGGGATCAGGGGGTCACAGGTTCAAACCCCACTGCAGTCAGCATGTCGTTGTGTCCCTGGGCAAGACACTTCACCCCAAATTGCTCCTGTGGGGATTGGCCACAGTATTGAGTATGTAAGTCGCTTTGGATAATGTATTGTTGGGAGAAACACATCCACCCCCCCCCCCCCCCAACCTGAGGGCAAAACGCAGTCTCCAGCTGCTGAAGTGATAAAGGCACTTCACTTTTATACACTGCAGTGTCATTATTTACTACCTAAAAAGTCCAAAATGTTTGCACAAATATTTAATCTAACACCTGGCAGTTGGCTAGTGCAAATGTAATGTCATGGGATTTCTGGATCCGCCAAATAAGAACAGCCAAGTGACATCATTTATTTAATCAGGTCAGTCTGTTTTGATTTTAAAATCAAACGTTAAAAAAGGAGACGGAACTAGGTTGTTTTTCTTATGGCAAGCTACTTCACTTTTAAGAAATTCACCAATTCATAGATGTATAGATATATTTTGGATGATATATGTTATGGTTGGTTAATGCAAAAAGTCATCGTCAGTGGTATCACAGTATTTGCATGTATAACTTCAGTTAAAGACATTTCAAGCAGCTTTTACCTCATTTCCAGTAATAAAAAAAAGTGAACCCTAGTTTTGTTTTTTGTATTAATAAGGTAACAACTTCTAGAAAGAACATCTTCATTTTCACTCAAATCTACGGTGGCCGACAGGGGCAAACATAAACATACAAACAAATACAAAATAAAATAAAAACACATGCAAATGAAGAAACAACTTGAGGAAACATGCGCACATTTTTTTACAAGCACTGCAAAAAGGAAAAGTGGCAAGAAGCTCCAAACTCAGCGGGAACCAGGGGACAATAAAAATTGACGCACACAGTTGGGACCGGAGCGCTGGTTGACGCTCGGGAAAGTGCAGTGCGTTTCTCCTAATGGAAATATGTTGGCACGTTTGTCAAAGACATTACTACTATTCATATTTAGCAGACTCTGCACCTTATTGAGCTATCTCGCAGGAATTATTTTAATGTCAAAAGTTGATTAAGTTATTTTAGGGCAGAAAACATGACTGAATGACATATTTTTTGATAGTTTTTATCCTTATAAAATGTTTGAAAAATGCTACACAGGGATGTCTGTTTAAACAGCCCAGGAAGCAGAATAGTCTTCCTTGTCCTCATGTGGAGTCATATAGCCCCTTCACACCGCAGTACTTTTCCCACTTTAGTTCCGATATAGTTCCGAAATGTCGCGTTCACACCAAAAAGAGCCGGAACTAAAATTAGTTCATGAGAACCTTTTTACCCCCTTTTCCGTCCCTGCTAGAGAGCAGGTACTTTCGTGGGAGAAAAAGGTTCCTATGTCTGATTGGCTGGGCAGATTGCAAACCACGCCCCGTAAAACTCCATAAAAGTTTTGTGAAGCCGCCATTTTATTATCCTCGCATTATTAGCATTATTAGCATTAGCATTAGCATTAGCCCAGCGCACAAACGCAGAGAGACTAACTTATGGCAACACAAAAGAAAACATGGGAGAGGTGGAGATGAGGAGGTGTCGGCGTTCTGGCGATTACCTCTGAAGGCTTCAGTAGAAGCTGCTGGGAGTCCCAGCAGCTTCTACTGAAGCCAGTCCCCAACTCCGGGGACTTCCGGCCGGGGACTTCGGGTGGCATTATACGCCGTGAAGTTGTTTGTGGCCTGCCAGTAAACCCAAAGCAGAAGAAGAAGAAGAAGAAGTGACGTCAGCAGCTTCATTTGCCTAATCCTCCCTCAGGGACTTATTCCGGTGTGAACGCGATCTGTACTTTGTTCATGAGAACTAAAGAGTTCTCATGAACAAAGTTCTGATGAACCTTTGTGGGAATAGTACTGCGGTGTGAAAGCGCCTATTGATGTTCTGTCCCTGCACTTGACTCACCCTACACACACACACACACACACACACACACACACACACACACACACACACACACACACACACACACTGAAGGGCAGTCTGTTAAAACAAACAGCATCAGATCATTTCAGCAAATATCTGTTCACTGTGGAGCATATCAAAAACATATTTCACTCCATGAGACAAGCATTTATGGCACACAATTACACCGCATATCGCTCTGTCTCACATAAACACACACACACACACACACACACACACACACACACACTGACAGATGCCCAGCCTTGCTGCTTCAATGCAGTTTTTCTTAATGGCCTGCTGTCAGAGTGAGATTAATGGTCTCCATACCGCCACCATCAGCTTGCATTTTCTGTCCACATCTCAGAGCGGCCTCTCTCTGCGGCCTCTGAACAGCTCTCAGCGGGGGGGTGTTTGCGTGCAGCTCTTTACGGCGGCAAATCATCCATCTGAAAATTCCCACAGTGAGCCTCGATATGTTTGGGACCAAAACAAAAGTTCTCCTCCGAAAAATGTTGAACAGTCTTCCGGCAGATATAGCTATATTTTACAGTGAGATACCTTAATGTTTGCATTCAGGCTGCAGCTGGTACATCAGGAAGTTATTCGTTCTGAATTTAAAACTCCCCTGACTGACCACTTAGCAAGTAGCTCCAGGCTAAGTGTACTGCTGCAGTGGACCCAGAGAATATGACCTGAAATCACCTCAAAAATCCAACATTTACTGAGAAAACTCACCAGCCGTTTCCTTTTCTGCGTGCATCAGTTTGTATTCCAGCTGCAGTGATGTGTGTGTGTGGTCAGCTTGTACTTCCCTACACTCTGAATCAGCAATATTTCAGTGCATCTCTGTACACACACACACACACACACTGACTGACCCTGCCCCTCATGCACCACTCGTTCTGAATGCACAGGACAGACATTTGGTTTCTCTCTTACTCATCAGTTTGAAGGGTCAGACAAAGTCCTTTAGTCACTGTGTTTCTCCGATCTGAGGATCGCACACCACAGTGACAGAGATTTTTTCCCACCAGGCATGTCTCTCTTGATTAATAGCCTGTGCCAGCTCTGCGTTGTATCTTGAAGAAAGGAATCCCTGAACCGTTTTGACAAGGACAATTTAGCAGGTTTGGAAATGGACCCAAAAAATGTACCAACTTTGTTTCACGCATCTGTGCACAGCGCTGCTCATAAAAAGCCGTGCTAATTCCAGATCTAACAGCGTCTGCATTACATCGTAACATGAAACATCTTGCACATTGCATGAGATGGCGTCTTGGATCCTCATGCAATTTAAATCACACCTTCACACCAAACAGGGACTATATATTCATAATGCTTGAAACTGCTTTATTAAAAAAACATTTGCTAACATGTGCTTACTGAAAGGCGTGCAGACACAACAACCTTCAGATAATACAAAGTTAAACAGAGCAAAAAGACCAGTGATGCTGTCTGGCTTCCTAATTAAAGGACAGAGAAATACAGTATTTGGCCGATGGTGAAGTTACCTAATGAAATTCACTCTCTTTTGAATTTTGGCACTCAAAATCTGGAGCTGGGAGATACTTCATATTTTAATTTAATGACTTTGTTGAATCGGGAAAGGCACTTTTTTAAGAAAACATTTTTTTATCAAGATATGTATTGTTTTTTCTTCTTCCATAACATAGTGACATCACTATTTAACACTCGCGCTTCTATTGGCTAGCGCTCCAACACATTGAACGTGATAGGCTAAGGGGCGGGACATCTCTAAGCTGGTTGACCAATCACAACAGAGCCGGCCAGATAACCAATCAGAGCAGACTGGGCTCTGGTTTTAGACAGAGGGTGAAAAGAGGTGCTGCAGCACAGGCAGTATGAGAAAAATAAAGAGCTTTTTGAACATTAAAGCATGGAGACATGTAGAGACACTACATACTGATATACACCTGAACATCAGCAGGAGAGGACTCTTTAAAGTAGAGACACTACATACTGATATACACCTGAACATCAGCAGGAGAGGACTCTTTAAAGTAGAGACACTACATACTGATATACACCTGAACATCAGCAGGAGAGGACTCTTTAAAGTAGAGACACTACATACTGATATACACCTGAACATCAGCAGGAGAGGACTCTTTAAAGTAGAGACACTACATACTGATATACACCTGAACATCAGCAGGAGAGGACTCTTTAAAGTAGAGACACTACATACTGATATACACCTGAACATCAGCAGGAGAGGACTCTTTAAAGTAGAGACACTACATACTGATATACACCTGAACATCAGCAGGAGAGGACTCTTTAAAGTAGAGACACTACATACTGATATACACCTGAACATTAGCAGGAGAGGACTCTTTAAAGTAGAGACACTACATACTGATATACACCTGAACATCAGCAAGAGAGGACTCTTTAAAGTAGAGACACTAAATATGAACCTAAAAAAGAACCGGCAATAATGTTATCTTGCTTTTGCTTTTCCTTCACTACTGTACTCTTCACTCACTCTCACCCAGGGTGCATCTCACTTCGGTTATTTTTCATTTCCTCGCTCCTCGCTCTCGGTATCACCGGAAGTTGATTTGTCTGCGCCATCTTGAGTAGCGTCCCAGTGGCCTTATTTGTGCCGGAGGACCGAGGATCGAGGATCGAGGAGTGATAATCGAGGAACTACCAGATCATCCTCCGGTGAAATCCTCAGACACTCGCCCCGCCCCCATACTGTGTATCGCTCACTGATTGGACGATGCAGCGCATGCACTGATCTGGCTGCTGTCAGACGATCAGCTGTGCGGAGTCATCACAAACGGACGTCGCTTCACGTGACGCTCCGGAGGAAAGGACGTCCCATTGCTCTTAAAACTCATTTCCCTGCTTCTCGTGGTTTCCTTGCGTCTCTCCATGCTTCCCTGGTGGGAGGGACTAGTCGCAGGGAAACCACGCAAGTGAGGGACGCAAGGAATCCATTTAACCGAAGTGAGATGCAGCCCCAGTCTCTCTCGTTCTACCTCTAACAGTTTTACTCAGAAACAAACGCACCCCCATGCCTGAGAGTGAATCATGTAGGAAGTAATCAGACATGACTGAACTCTCCTGGTAAACATGAGAGACCCTTGTCATCTCATTTATGGTTTCACCCTCAGCATGTCAGAAGTAACCCCATTGACAAATCTGCAAAAACACCAGAGAGTTACAGCGGTTAGACGCATTGATTCAACCCGACGGATCCGGGACGTAATGCTGTGCAAAGATTGCTTCATCATTGCATCACTCTGCTTTGGTTTTAGAGAAGTCCTTTCTTCAGGGATATATACAGTTATTTCTTTTTTACCAATTATGTATTTGTATTAATGAATATGTTTCAGAAAATAGTGTGTAGTTTTGAGTTTTTAAAAAGGCATATCTGTTAAATATCTGCTATCAGTTTCATAAATCCATCATAGTTTGGGCTCTCATGTGTGTTTTGTTTCCTTCAGGGTGTGGACACTGCAAGAAGATGAAGCCAGAGTATGATGAAGCTGCTGAAATCCTCAACAAGGCTGCAGACGTGAGTTTCCTAACCTTCCTTTACGTGCAGCATGCTTACAGGCCTGTGTGTTTCCATATCTCACACTCTGCTGCACACACAGATCTATGTGGGCGTAGCAGCGCCTCATTAACACTTCCTAACAATCCCTCCTCTTGGCCTGAAGGCTTTTTGGCCGCCATGCTGGTCGCTGTGTCCTGCAGCCCGCCTCTCGATGTGTTTCTGATTAGTCGGGTGTGTTCCTCCTCTCCGCCATTCTGTCCTCTGTGGTAATGCAACACTCCTCAGCCAGGGGCAAGGCCTATAAACCTCCAATTATCTCATCCGTGAGCGTCTCCCCGGCCCGATGCCTGGACCTTCTCCTCGTGGCTCTCTGCCCAGCGCTGGAGGTCAATGGGGGAAAGCCTGGCCGTTATCTAATATTGATGATCTGGAGCCTCTTTCACCCTGAGCCCTCTAGACCCAGCATTTCATTTATTTTCCCCCTCCTTCCTTCTCTGCCGGTCTTACTAATGCAGTGCTCTTACGCAGTGGCGGCGCCAGAGTATTTTTGTTGGGTAATCTATGGTAGGGCTAACTCATACAGTGGTGGGGCTCAAGTCTGTATTTGCAATGTAATTACATACACGCTATATCGCCCCCCTTGACAGTGAAACGCCACGCGTGAGGTTTCGATTATTTCCCTGTCTCAATCAAAATTGAACTGTATGAAATAAAACGGCACATTTGACTTGTAGTAAATACAAAGGGATCACTGTGAACGTGACGTATGATAATACACGTTGAAGATCCAATGGGGATACTGAATGGCGGTTCTGACTGATCTCAATCAGTAAGGCATGACGCAGACCCAACGTTGCGTTGCTCTGATTGGCTGTAGGTCAGGTCTATTCAAATTGCATTCGGAGGCATTTTGATCTGACCGCGGCCGCGCTGATATTATAATGCCAGGGAATTTCCACACCTTTAGTGTATAAAACTCCCCCACTACTTAGACTATTCCTTGCACCCCTCTTCTAGCATAAGCCCGAATGGTCTCAACCATATTGCATCAGTAACGTGCACTTGTTGTTACAGCAGGATCAGTTTGTGTGTTGTGGACACGACCCGTATATTTTCGCAATCCGTGTTCTCAACATGCTTACTTTAACATCATTTTTCATGGTGGGGCTAAAGTGGGGCTAAGGTGGGGCTAAGCCATTTCTTGGTATGGCTGTAGCCTACCCCAGCCATACCCTGGCGCCGCCACTGCTCTTACGTTATAAATACACGACCAATGTGTGCTCATTAGCAGAGGTTGAACTTGGGATTGTTCTCTGGAAGTTTAAATTGCTCGGTGTCATGTAACAGTTCAGCGTAAAGGACTGTCATTGTCAGCTATTACGTTCTACTCCAGTATGACTCCAGTACGACTCAGATGTCGCACTTTTCCTGGTACATGTGATGTTTTGGTGTTGTACGTTTTTGTGTTTCTCTTATTTTCCTACGATACTCTTATGATTGGCTGTGAATAAGAAAATATGAAGGACAGACCATCTATTTCTATTTATTTATTTATTTATTGTGAGAAAAGGGCCGGTAATATAAGATTATTTTCTTCTCCCTGCTCCTTTTCGGGTACGGTGTGTTTATAGAGACATTTTTTGTAAATAAGTTATACATGGACTGGAGCCTCTTTCACCCTGAGCCCTCAAGACCCAGCATGTCATTTATTTCCCCCCTCCTTCCTTCTCTGCCGGTCTTACTAACGCAGCGCTCACGTTATATATACACAACCAGTGTGTGCTCATTAGCAGAGGTTGAACTTGGGATTGTTCTCTGGAAGTTTAAATTGCTCGGTGTCATGTAACAGTTCAGCGTAAAGGACTGTCATTGGTCTAATTAGGCGCTATAGTCATTATATCACCCCCTGTCCTCCGTTGTCTTTCCTCCACAGAGTCCCGGTGTGTTGGCCGCAGTGGACACCACCGTGCACAAAGCTGTAGGAGAGCGCTTCAAGATCTCCGGGTTCCCGACCGTCAAGTATTTCGTGAAAGGTGAAGACAAGTACACGCTGCCACACCTGCGGAACAAAGACAAGATCATCGAGTTCATGCACAAGTGAGTCACCACTTAAAAAGGACATACTATGCTCATCTTCAGGTTCATATCAGTATGTAGTGTCTCTACTTTAAAGAGTCCTCTCCTGCTGATGTTCAGGTGTATATCAGTATGTAGTGTCTCTACTTTAAAGAGTCCTCTCCTGCTGATGTTCAGGTGTATATCAGTATTTAGTGTCTCTACTTTAAAGAGTCCTCTCCTGCTGATGTTCAGGTGTATATCAGTATGTAGTGTCTCTACTTTAAAGAGTCCTCTCCTGCTGATGTTCAGGTGTATATCAGTATGTAGTGTCTCTACTTTAAAGAGTCCTCTCCTGCTGATGTTCAGGTGTATATCAGTATGTAGTGTCTCTACTTTAAAGAGTCCTCTCCTGCTGATGTTCAGGTGTATATCAGTATGTAGTGTCTCTACTTTAAAGAGTCCTCTCCTGCTGATGTTTAGGTGTATATCAGTATGTAGTGTCTCTACTTTAAAGAGTCCTCTCCTGCTGATGTTCAGGTGTATATCAGTATGTAGTGTCTCTACTTTAAAGAGTCCTCTCCTGCTGATGTTCAGGTGTATATCAGTATGTAGTGTCTCTACTTTAAAGAGTCCTCTCCTGCTGATGTTCAGGTGTATATCAGTATGTAGTGTCTCTACTTTAAAAAGTCCTCTCCTGCTGATGTTCAGGTGTATATCAGTATGTAGTGTCTCTACTGGGACATGTCTCCATGCTTTAATATTCAAAAAGCTCTTTATTGTTCTCATACTGCCTGTGCTGCAGCACCTCTTTTCACCCTCTGTCTGAAACCAGAGCCAGTCTGCTCTGATTGGTTATCTGGCTGGCTCTGTTGTGATTGGTCAACTGCTTAGAGATGTCCCGCCCCTTAGCCTATCATGTACAATGTATGTGAAGGAGTATGTGTCTTAAGTAAGGGATAATGTGCAGCGAGGCGGTCATTATGGGGAAAAGAACACCCGACAGGTCAGATCAGGAGCCCGACGCGACGCGGAGGGATCTTGATCTGCCTGAAGGGTGTTCTCCATAATGACCAAGTCACTGCACATTGTCCCGCTTATTACACGGCCACATTCTCAACAAAGTAACGATATGACTCCCAATATTAATTCAAATGCTTTTATAGATTTAGAAAATGTTTTTATTGATTTCAAAAATAGTAGGCTATTATTTATTTAAAATGACATGCATCCGCTAAGAAAAATAGTCCGTTGTTACCGTTTGAACTACGTAGCAACAAAACATCGTTGCTTGCTTTAAAAGTAGCACAATTCATTATGTCAAACCTTGGGAAGTGTCTGGATATCCCTGCCATAATGCCAAAGCAACTGGCAACTGAATATGTTTTGCCGTTTGATGTCTATATCTGGACCGTTGCGTAAAAAGGAGGGTTTCTGCCCCGTTACTTCTCCGCTGTTTTTCTTGTCCCAGGTCGAACAATTTGCTTTTCGGCCAAACTGTATACAGTTAAATCGACCGGACTTCTTTCTGCAGATGTGAGCGTCCTTAACAACGGTCAATAAGTCCTTGACAGCGATCTGTCTGTACTGGATTAACAACGTGTCACGTGTTCTGAACTGACCAATCAGAATTGAGTATTCAACTAAGCCATGTAATAAGAATGAGATCATCTTGCAGCCTTCACATTTGGACCTTACGTCACATGTTATCTTACTCTAAGTTTCCTGTAAGCTATACTTGTAGGATTTAAAGAAGACAGACAGTCATGGTAAAAAGGCACTATGAACTAAATCATGACATCTTATGGAAGGCTTACTTCTACACTTTTGAGCTCTGCAAACTGCTGAAAAACTAAAAGTTATGGACACTCTTTTGCGGTGGATTGCAGTCCAAGAACACCCATAAACATTCATTCAACTTCCCATGATTCCTGTGACACATTGACCCGTATTACAAAGAAGTCTGAAACACTTAAACCCGCCTCCCTGCGCAGGATATGCGATATTGCCGTGAGCCACACTTTGGCATCAGACCCAGACTCAAACTCCACTACATCGCAGTCATTTTAGGCTTTAGCTTCTTCCTCTCACAGTAATACATTAATCCTGGCAAAGGGTCACTGTGAAACATTATAGTCCTGCGATGACATCAGTCCAGCTGCTAAAGACACCATTAAGTGTGCAAGCAGAGGTCAACAGACATTAAGTCATTGAGTGTTTTAATATATCCTTTGTATTCGTAGGGGTAATACTGTCTATGCAAACTACATTTTGCTTTTACCATACTTGCAATACATGTAAAGCAGTGTCTTGCCCTCACATAATAATGACTGTTTTGTGTCCTCAGTCCCCAGGCGCCTCCTCCACCTGAGCAGTCTTGGGAGGATAAGCCCTCCAGCGTCAGCCATCTTGGATTAGAGGATTTCCGAGAGGCGCTGAAGAAGAAGAAGCACGCTCTGGTCATGTTCTACGCTCCATGTAAGAGCAAACACTAATGGCGCATTTCCACTGCAGGGCCTCGCACGGCTTAGTACGGTATAGTTAGGCCTTGGTAGGCCAGGCTCACTTTATGCTGCGTTTCCATTACAGTTTAGGAACTGGGGCAGTAACTATAGTAACGCAGTGTAGGCGGAGCCGTGACGTCATCTTCAATGAGAACCACAAAACCAACATCAGCCGTTAGCTGTTAGCACTCAGAGCTCACAGCTCCTCATATCTGTTCAGAAACTAGACAAAAGTTAAACAAGTACAAACCACAGACTGTCTGTGTCATGGTGAATACAGTCGCTGCTTTATTTATGTCTGTATAGGCCGTTGTTGTGAGTGTGGACGGTCGGAGCAGATACAACGTTAGCTTACCCAATGTCCATTTAGAAAACACGCATTTTAAAAGGTTTTTCGCCTGCCGTCTGTCTGCAGACTTGTCAAAGCATTAATTCATGGTTTTTACTAACCGGTATCAGTATGTTGTTACTTCGGCATCATTTTGAAACGTGTATTACAATTACATCACGGTCAAATATGTTCATCTTGTTGTAGTTGCCAGCGATTCTCTCACTAGTTTAGCATATTCAGCCCGGTTGTTGGCCCGGAAAGAACCTGGATTTTGGAGTGCCAGAAAAACTGAAACAGTACCCGTTAGCCGGAACTACCCCTAGTGGAAACGCAACAAAAAACGGGCCGGGTTTGGCACGGCATGCTTAAACCGTGTTACGCGCTGCAGTGGAATTAATGCGCCATTATAATACACCTCCTAAAATGGCTATTCTGTTGTTGCCACTTTTCACAAACGGTTCAATCATATATGCCTTGGTGTTTTGATTGAGATGTTAACGGCGTGTGAGTCACAGTTCCTTCTCTGTTGGACCCGGTGTGATCATATCTTGGGTTTAAATCAGCGCGCTTACATAACCTCCGAGCTGCCTGTCAGGCTCCTGATCACGCCGTATATAAACCCCGCCTGAGCCTCCGGGAGACTGAGATATGATTCACATGACTGTGAATAGATTTGTGAAAAACAGGAGAAAAGTTCCAGCTCAAAATTCAGCTTTCCTGGAAAACATGAAATGTAGCTTTTTGTTCAGAGATTGAGTCGACTGTGTTTCTGACATTGAATTAAACTGTTCTCCAACATCAAGTTTAGAATAGTTAGTCAACACTTTGAAATAAACTCCTCATGTTTGTCTCCAACACTGGAAGAAATCCTGCTCCAAAAACAAGCAAATAATTATTAAAACAAGTATTTTTCCCTTGTAATTTGCAATAGGATGGAATATTAAGATTAATCAGATCTTGTAATTAGCTAGGAAAACTTATTTTCAAGTATATTTGACCAGAATCAGGAAATTATGTGTTAAATACTAAGCCCCAAATGCAAAAAAAAAAATCTGTTTTCTGGTGTTAGTTGGTGATTTTCCATTAAAAAAATGTTACCTTTTTTTTTATCTGAGATACAACTCAAAGTAAGACGTTTTCAAGAGTCTTAACAAGATACTTAATATGTATTGTCTAAAAACCAGACCCTATATCTCACTTCAATGTTACCTCTTAAGTCATTAGGTCTTATATCGAGTGTCGAGACATATTCCGACTAAGCATTACACAAATATACTTTGCAAGATTTCAACTTTTCGCAGCTTGTTCTTCATCTAAATGAGACATCCACAAAGTGAGCCTGTGTTGTTGAATTTAAATAATTTAAGGAGCCGGTGTTATGACATCTGAGTTCTCACACCAAACACAGCAGCAGCAGGAATACAGATGGGATCATTATCAATCATTATCAATCATTACCAATCGTTATCAATCGTTATCAATCCCCACATCCACGCTCTCGGCACCTCTGGCCTTTGTGTCTGATCGAGCTTCAGAGCTCAGCGGTCAGACTGCTCTTTTTCAACGCTTCAATCCACAAAGAGAGGCGCTCCAGATGCACATCAGGAACAACCTGCTGCCCCCCCCCATCTGCACCCTGCTCACTGGGGTCTTATCAGAGAGGAAGTTTTCAAGGTTCAAGGCTTTTCTTGTCATGTGTACATAGCTACAGTGTAGTTATGACAATGAAAGTCTTAGGTCACAGGCTCCTCCAACAGTGCAACTCAATAAAATAGTTTAAATAGTGCAAGTAAATACAAATAATATAGAATAGAATAGTGCAAGGAGAGTCTATACAAGTCTAATAGAGCATGTGATGAGATGCAGCTGCTAAGACATTCAGGCAGGAGATGCTTCAATATATATATATATATTATACACAAACGTTTGGATCACTCACTTACAGTTTAGCCTCACACCTGCACAATTAAAACTTGACTAAAAATAAATGCGATGAAAAAAAAGTCAGGAAGTTGTTTTTTATTAGTTTTTTATAACAACAAATGCCCCTGACGCTTAACAGAGGTTTAATTTAGGCTGTAGACACCCCCCCCCCCAACGCCGTTATAATGTCCGTCTTTTCACTGAATTGTCGTCTTGAAAAGGGTACTCGCAACAATTCCGCAACAGCATCTTCTTCACCTGTTGCACTTTCCATTTCAACGTTAAAAACAATAAAACGGCATATAATAATATTAATAATACATTTGATTTATATAGCACACTTTAAAAACAACGTCATCTCAAGGTGCTTCACAAAGCTATAAGGAGAAAATAATCATATATGAATTGCTTCGTCACATTCATCTAGATCCTCTGGGTGTTTCTCAATCGCGAGTAAAGCTGCTTCAAAGCCACTATTTCAAGCATACTACGTCATCGAGTGCCGCCGAAGTACTGTTCCAATCTCCAGTATACTTGGAAATCTACCGAGCCCGGCGTACTCCGTTTGGAGAAATATCGAGGCTGCACATGAGTAGACTCCGCGGTCTTAAAATCCCCACAATGCTTTGCGCACGGACCAATTTCCCCAAATCTGTGGCGGAAGATGTAAGAGGCGGGGCCTCTCATATGACGCACACCTGCACACTTGCTAGCCTGTTCCACACTTCGTTTTCCGAATGCTAGGAAGTATTCTTGACTCGCTTCTGAAGCAAGATGCTCGGCAGACATGTGCTACCAAGCAAGCGTACTCGCGATTGAGAAACACCCAGTGTCTCTCCAGTGAACTACCGGGCCTTCTAGAATACCCTGGCACCGAGGGGAACTCTGAAAGAATACGCCCATTGGCTACAAATCAATATATGATTGGTTGATCAAACTGTCAATCCAAAGGTACGCTCTCATTCAGTGCAACGGCCAGGGCATTCTATCAAGGATATAGGGTGTTTCTCAATGTCGAGTACGCTTGCTTGGTAGCACATGTCTTGCTTCAGAAGCGAGGCAAGAATACTTCCTAGCATTCGGAAAACGAAGAGTGGAACAGGCGAGCAGGTGTGCAGGTGTGCGTCATATGAGAGGCCCCGCCTCTTACATTTTCCGCCACAGATTTGGGGAAATTGGTCCGTGCGCAAAGCGATTTTAAGACCGCGGAGTCTACTCATGTGCAGCCTCGAAATTTCTCCAAACGAAGTACGCCGGGCTCGGTAGATTTCCAAGTATGCTGGACATTGGAACAGTCCTTCGGCGGCACTCGATGACGTAGTATGCTTGAAATAGTGGCTCTGGAGCAGCCTTCCTCGACATTGAGAAACACCCATAGAATACCTTGTTGAAGGATATTCTGCCCAGAGACCCAGAAAAATATCTGATTGGTTGCTGAGTGTTCCAGGGTATTCTCTGAACACCTTGAAGGCCCTGACGGTTCGCCACTGTGAATAATACATTTAGTCAACCTACTGTATATCTCTGGTGCCAACTAGCGAGGGTAGCGTCGACTAATCCTGCACACCCCTATTATTCTATATTTTATACACAAAGTTTTACATTTGAGTCTCGTCTAATGTTCTCAATACCGGTTTGAGGCTCTCTCTTTTCTAGTGTTGCTTCTTTAATTGCACATTTCTTTATCAATGAGCGATGGAGAAAAGACCTGGCAGTCTCTTTATCTGCTTGTCATCACGTCAGTCATAATGAGGAAACAGGTGGAAGTGTGTGTGCAGTTAGAGAGAAATCAGTGTGTTATTATCACCAGCAGACCTCCCTCTGAGCTGCTTCTAGAAACTCTGATGACAGAAGTGATCTGAGATGTTAAAACTGAAATGCTCCCGTGCTTTCATCGCACCGTGTCGCTCTGACCTGCGTGGTCGGTCTGTGATCTTCATGTGAGGGGAAGCCGGGTACAACGCTGTGATTTTTGATTTATCCCTTTCAGAATTGAGACGGAACCTTTAAAGGTTTAAAGGCCATTTCATGTTGCAGCTTAAAGGGTGCTTCAGCAGGAAATAGCTTTCTGAGCTGTGCTGAAAGCTGAGGGAGGCAGCTGGGAAAAGAGAGGCAGAGTGGATGTTTAATATAATTGAGGTAACTGAATGCCACAAACAGTCGGTGCACTTGTAGCCTTGAAGACTATGTTTACAGTGGAAAACCAATGAGTAACTGAACAACTTTTGCTATACTTCTACCAAGATGCAGACTTTTAATAATCATATTTAGGGGAGCTTCTACAGGGTGTCCGCGGGGTCTTAAAAAGTATTAAAAGTTGATAAATGAATTTAGCGAAAATGAAGGCTATTAAAAAGTATTAAACGGCATTTTCCAAGGTATTACATTTGGTAGCTTGTTTTCAATAAGTATATAAATTGTCCAAAGAGGTTGTATTCTACAGTGTGCCTGAATGTAATCATTGCGTAGGTGTGTAGTGTGATTCTGTGTAGTTTATTTATGGCATCCCGTTGGATTTGACGTCATCTGAACAGGACATCGCACGCTCACTGCTTGATAGCGCGCGAAGGTCCGTTTACGCCGGTTGCTAAGCAACATCGTTATGGGGAAATGCAAGTCTGCGTCCAAATAGTTGGAAGATAAGGAGGAAGGACAATCAATACTGTATATAGTAAATGTGAGGTAAAGTGTGTCGCCAATGTAACCGGTTAGAACTCCAAGTGGCGATGAGGTCTTAAAATGTATGGAAAGGGTCTTAAAAAGGGTCTTAAAGGGATTACATTTATAGTTAGAGACTTACATACAACAAAGCTTTTCCCAGTTTGTTGTTGATTAAAATGCCACGCTTATCCAACACCTTTGTAATGTGTCGGACGTCACTAAAGCTCTTGTGAATTCAAACTCAGGACTTTTCGCTGAGTCAGATGGTCTTTACTTTTTATTCGTGGGGTTCAGCTCGGGCATATTTTAGTATAAACATAATTCGAGGAGTTTACCCTTTGTCCATGTGCCCTGAATGTGTTTAAGTTGAAAGTACATACTATCTTGGATTCAATAACTGTCTTGATTCAAAGTGCCGAGCCCTTGGTCTTGGAAGGATCTGCAGGATTGATTAAAACCAGATTCCCTCATCTCTCTGGACACTTTCCAAAGGAGTTTTATTTCTTGTTTGTGTCTTTATGTACGGAAGAGGATTAGGGCCACATGTGGAAACATTTTTGCGATCTGACCAAAAGGGTTTTTGTTTTGAGTAGGTATTCTGTAGGTGTGCAAATCTATGCTTATTTACTATCTTCTGTTGGTGCATGGACACAGTTTTCACCCTGTGCCTTTGTAAATCCCATCCCCCACCGTCAGAATTAGCACTTCTTATACATTCATAGGAAAATTGTCTCACACAATAAATATGTATCCTTCAAAAAATGTAGAAATAATTGACATATTTTCAACCCTTTGATACACAACATGTACACAACGAGTGAGTTTTAATTGTAAATATCTTTGCAACAAAGTACTTTAATAATTCAGAATTCCAGGTATTCCTCAATTAACTTGTTTTTAATCATCACAAATTCTTACTTTCATTTTTCCTTTCTTACTTTTTGAATACAAATCATTTTTGTATCACGACCCTTCTAAGGGACAACATGGGTCAAAAATGACCCATATTGACCTACAATGTTATTTGATGCATGGGTGAGTGTTTCTTAGCTATATTTTTGGAAATGAATTTATTTAATCATTTCATATTCCAAGTATTCATTAAATATTTTATTTTTGATCACCACCCATCATTATTTTCATTCTACCTTTCTTAATTTATGAACTAAAATAGTTTCTGTATTTCTAAATCAGGTTTACATACATGGGTAAAAAATGACCCATGTATGCAAGTGTGATAAAAATGAAAAAAAGACATACTATAATAATTATTTAGTTATAAATAATTATTTTACAGTGATTTGGAGCACTATGCTGAGTAGCATAGTGCGTACAAGTGGCCAAAGCTTTGCTGACTCAATAACTGCAGAGTTCCAGCTCTGGCATTAATATCAGCACCAAAACTGTGCGCCGGGAGCTTCATGGCATTTTGGACAATTCTATGCTTCCAACTTTGTGGAAACAGTTTGGGGAAGGCCCTTTTCTGTTCCAGCATGACTGTGCCCCACAAAGCAGGGTCCATAAAGGCATGGTTGGATGAGTTTGGTGCGGAAGAAGTTGACTGGCCCGCACAGAGCCCTGACCCCCACCCCACTGAACACCTTTGGGATGAACTAGAATGGAGAGCCAGGCCCTTTCGTCCAACATCAGTGTCTGACCTCACTAATGCTCTTCTGGATGAATGGCAAACATTCCCACAGATACACTCCAAAATCTTGTAGAAAGCCTTCCCAGAAGAGTAGAAGCTGTTATAGCTGCAAAGGGCGGACCAACTTCATATTAATGCCTAAGAATTTGGAATGGGATGTCATGAAAGCTCCTGTAGGTGTAATGTGTCGGTGGCCCAATACTTTTGTCAATATAGTGAATGAAGAGGCGCATGGAGGGCACGCCCCACCTCCAAAAGCACATTACAGGAGCAATGGAAAGATGTGGGCTAAAAAGACCAAACACACCACCCAGCCTAATGTATTGTTTGGTCCAAATCACTGATAAAATAATTATTTTTAACAAAATTATTATTATAGAATTTCTTTTTTTATCATTATCACACTTGCACACATGGGTAAAAAATGACCCATGTATACAAACCTGATGTATTACTACAAAAACTGTTTTATTTCCTACATTTTGAAAGGTTGATTGAAAATAATGATGTGTTTAATGAATTATTGGAATATTAAATGATTAAAGGGGACCTATCATGCAAAATGCACTTTTGTACGTCTTTTATACATGAATATGTGTCCCCGGTGTTCCAGGGAACTCACCAAGTGTCAGAAAACACAACCCTCTCTATTTTCCTCCATACCCAAATCTCTAAAAAAGGGGCTGCAACGGATCTGATAAAAACTGATCCAGATTTGAACACTGTCCTGACGTCAGGACGGTGGCGCTACGGCTATTGGGCCAACTCCACCAATCAGGAGGAGACAGCCACGGCCATTGCCGTTCGAAAGCGCTGGAGACGCTGTAGTACATATGCCAGGCCTGTAGATGGTGCTGTTCTCACAGAATCAACCCTTGCTAAAACAGAGCTAGAAATTGTCAAATTGAGCGAAATGAGGCATGGCTAAAATACATGATCTGTTTGGTATTTTGAAAAAAAAAAGTATAAATATGCCTTATATAGGTATGGTCCTACACTATATTATTATAATATAGCATGATAGGTCCACTTTAAATAAATGGATTTCCAAAGATATAGCTAAGAAACACTCCATGCCATGCATGAAATAACATTGTAAGTCAATACGGGTCATTTTTTACCCATGTTGTCCCTTAGAAGGGGTCTGCATAGCTTGTGTATCAAAGGGTTAAGAGTTATTTGTGAAGGGCTAATTGACTTGTATCCCTAACCCTTTACATTTATCCACCAACTGCCATCAGTTTTTTTTTTCTTACTGGACAATCTTCGTCACACCAAAAGCTGTACTTGCCATTTTCTCCTTTCCAATTTTCAACCACAGCAACATCAACAACAAAAACACAAAAACATTTACAGAAATTCGTAGAGAAAAGAAGATTTCATCACAGTTATTACACTTATTGACAGCAAGTACACACGTGGTCCGCTCAAATGTTTCCACCGACTGGAAGTGAACGTCTGCCTGTAAATGTGATCTGGTTCCTCACGGTGTGTTTGTGTTAGTATCGACTGGCTGTAAATGTATAGCTGCTGGAGCAGAGAGGTTGAGTTTATGACAGCAATAAAGAGATTAACAGCCTTGTAACGTGCAAGTGAACCATCTCTAATGCGGTGTAAAGCTCTCAATAACTGCAGGATTGTGGGACATCGCTTTATGATTGGGACTCAGTGAATGAAGTACAGCAGTGATTTCTTTCATATCTGCTGGCTTGGGAGGTCATGGATTACATGTAACGGGATTACGTATCAGGATACAAAAAGTAACTTTATTCGCTTACAGTTACGTACAAAATATTGGATTACTGTTACATTTTTACAAATTGGGGATTACTAGCAGGATTACAAAAATATCATATAGTGTTTGTTGTAAAAGGATCAGATGTTGAGGAGCAGGTGAACCTATATGTTTATAAAATAGTGTGTGTGAGCTTTAACTGTGTGTGTTAAACTAAAACGGAGCATTTTCTGTCAGCTCAGATTTTGATTTCTGTAGTATTTTAAACTGTAGTATGTGTTTAATTGTTGGTGTATACTACGACTGTTTGAATATGATAATGAAAGGCAGGTTTTCCTATCAATACAATCTCTAAACAGAGATTTTGAGACTCAGATTAGATTATATATTTTTACAGGTAACTAGTAACATGCATTATTGCCTGTACAAGCTGCTGTTCAAGACGTACTGTAAAGCTAGATATAGTGTAAATGTGTCGTATTAAGATGTATATTAAAGGTGGGGTAGGTAATTCACTTCAGAAACACTTTTTGTTATATTCCATGGAATGCTCTTAACATCCCGATAGCAATGAATATATGAAATGCTTTGACAATAAATACATTAAAAAATGTCATCTGTGGAAGCCGTAGTACTGTAAAAAGCACGACCAATCATCTGAGCCGGCCCGGTTAAAATAACTGGATGGCCTACCTGCCTGTCAGCCTTCCATCTCGTGCACAAACTTATCTCGTGCCCTCATTGGTCATGTGCGCGTTCGTGTGTGTTGGAGGAGGGGCTCTGTAAGGAAGTCTGAAGGAAGGGGCAGATTTTTTCCGGTTGTGTATTTTCAAATTCTAGCACACTCGAGCTGGTTTCTCCATTCTTACCTACCCTACCTTTAACATCCCCTCTCTCTGTTGTTTCTTCAGGGTGTCCACACTGTAAAAACTCTGTTCCCCACTTCACCACGGCAGCTGAGCTCTTCAAAGAGGACAGAAAGGTGAGCGGTGCTTTTTTAACATCAACACACACATTTACACCCCGTAGTAGTGGTGTGACACTTTAAAATAAAGAAAACAGTTCTCTGTCATGACCCACAGTGAGATGAATATTGATTTCATCTCTGTGTGTGTTCAGTGAAATGCTAGAGCTTAGCTGTGTTTTAACTTAGCTTAGCACAAAGACTCTCTGAAGACTGAAAATACACGCGCTCCAATTATTCCAAGCTGGCGTACTCGGGTTTCCTCCCTGAAGCACTTCTTTGAGTTAGTTTAGTTATATTCTGTCTTTAACAACCTACACATCACACAGAAGAGAACCAAAGTAAAAGACACATTCAATCCAGCTTGGCATGCAGAAACTAAACACCTCGAAGAAGTAACATGGAAGAAAAGCATATTACACGAACACGGTGCATAAGATTGCACGATAACAGAAAGTTTAATATAACATATTTCCATAGTGGCTCTAGCAGGTCTCAAATGATTACAACAACACAGACTGCTGGGCCTCTGCTGCAATACAGGCTCACACTGTTTGACAGCCTAACACTATCTTAAAGGGGACCTATCATGCAAAATGCACTTTTGATGTCTTTTATACATAAATGTGTCCCCCCGATGTGTCGGGGAACTCACGCAGCGTCAGAAAATAAAACCCTCTCTCTTTTCCTCCGTACCCAAATCTCTAAAAACGGAGCTGATTCAGATTTGCGTCCGATATGACGTAATATCGGAAATGTAGGCTGTCTTTACACCCACGGCCCTATCAGAAAGTTGCTATCAGAAACAATGCCCGACTGTTTTGGACGTAATATGGTCGGTGCATGTTTACATTAGCATCGCTAACACTCAGAGCTAACCTGTACTGGAGAGCATGTCTGTGAAGAAGCAGGAACTAAAAAGGAACTCACCTTGTGGTATAACCGGCAAGAGAGAAAGCCTTTGAGCTCCATACTGTTTCAGAAATAATCCTTGATAATCCATGATATGGCGTTTCATCACGGCAGTATTTAGTTTAGACAGTAGCTGCCGGGTCCCGCATGAGCTCAGACCCCTCCTCTTTTATTTTTTAAAGCTTTATGCCCATAATCAGCACTTTTGAAACAGGAAGTGAAATAGAGGGATATGAGGCATGGCTAGAATGGGTGATCTGTTTGGTATTTTGAGCAAAACACTTCATAGACATGTTTTTTATATATTTGTATATATCTGAGACCTGTGCTATTGCCTAAAAATAGCATGATAGGTGACCTTTAAAAGACGTTAGATAGTCATAAAAGATCTAAAAAAAAATGTGCATGTCCCCTTTAAACCGGGATGTCTTGCAAACTCCTAACTAAAACGTTTGTCATACAGTTATGAGTTCTTTCACCGTAATATTTGAGGTCTCTGACCAAAAAAATATGTTATTGGATAACTCACAGGCTAGTTTATATTCATGTATTATGCTCTGCTTTTTGGGGATTTCCCTTTGCCTGTACTGTGTTATAAAGGTTTTGGGCATGTCATCTGCAAAGGCTAAAATCCCCTAATTCCCTCCATTGAACATAATGAAATCACTTTGTAACACTGACACTTCTATTGGCTAGCGCTCCAACACATTGAACGTGATGGGCTAAGGGGCGGGACATCTCTAAGCTGGTTGACCAATCACAACAGAGCCTGCCAGCTAACCAATCAGAGCAGGCTGGGCTCTGGTTTCAGACAGAGGGTGAAAAGAGGTGCTGCGGCACAGGCAGTATGAGAAAAATAAAGAGCTTTTTGAACATTAAAGCATGGAGACATGTCACAGGAGAGACGGAAAATACAAAAATGAGGCAGGCAGTGTGAGAAAAATAAAAGCTGTTGATAGGAGTTTGAACACTTTTCTAAAGCCCTCACATTCTCCTCCAGTCTTCTGCACTCCTGGAGCTTCAGGTGATTCGTGAAGTCACAACACATTCCTCCATCTTCTCTTCTCCCTTTCACTTTCTCTGCTGCAGGGCTCAGTGTTTCCAAAACCTCATTACTGTAACCGTGACTCACTCACACAAAGAAAAAAAACGTTGCGTGTCTAGAAATACTTTGAGCTCGGATATATCATCTCAAAGTGACAATTTAAAAAAAACACCATCATATTATTGTTGCTTTTTTAGTTTTATTGAATTGCTTAATGCTCAATGTTTTCTCACAGAGCTCAGGCAATGCTGCTCTCTCATTTGTTTGGAATTTTTCACAATGATTGCCAGATGGTGAGAAACAGTGACGTATCCCCGATTACTTAGTCATCCATTTCTCTGAGGCAATCCTTTGTAACAATTCTTCAAAACAATACACTTTTTTAAATTATTGTACAACTCTGAGCCCTTCAGCTGCAACTTCAGGAAATTGAACATGCCTTTCTTTATTCCATCATTCTAAGAGTACCCATAGAAATAATGATGACAACAGTATGGGACCCACAATAAAGATATGTTGTCTCTACACAGGGAGAAATAATAGTAATTAGATCAACTGTAAAACATGTTTGACTCATTAACTGGGACACACACGAGCATAAGCTTCCATATGTCCTTAATGGAGTCTCATTTTTTTAAACTGCCATCAAGAAACACAAGCGTTTAAAGAGGCCCTATTATGCTTTTTGGGGTGTGTTCTATAGGTTTTAGTGCATGTAAATGGTCTGCAGAGGCTAAAATCCCTGTGTTTCCTCGACTGGACTGGACTCCTTTGTTTACTTTCATAATAAGTGACATCACTATTTAACACTCACGCTCCTATTGATATGAACCTGAACATCAGCAGGAGAGGACTCTTTAAAGTAGAGACACTACATACTGATATACACCTGAACATCAGCAGGAGAGGACTCTTTAAAGTAGAGACACTACATACTGATATACACCTGAACATCAGCAGGAGAGGACTCTTTAAAGTAGAGACACTACATACTGATATACACCTGAACATCAGCAGGAGCGGACTCTTTAAAGTAGAGACACTACATACTGATATACACCTGAACATCAGCAGGAGAGGACTCTTTAAAGTAGAGACACTACATACTGATATACACCTGAACATCAGCAGGAGAGGACTCTTTAAAGTAGAGGCACTACATACTGATATACACCTGAACATCAGCAGGAGAGGACTCTTTAAAGTAGAGACACTACATACTGATATACACCTGAACATCAGCAGGAGAGGACTCTTTAAAGTAGAGACACTACATACTGATATACACCTGAACATCAGCAGGAGAGGACTATTTAAAGTAGAGACACTACATACTGATATACACCTGAACATCAGCAGGAGAGGACTCTTTAAAGTAGAGACACTACATACTGATATACACCTGAACATCAGCAGGAGAGGACTCTTTAAAGTAGAGACACTACATACTGATATACACCTGAACATCAGCAGGAGAGGACTCTTTAAAGTAGAGACACTAAATACTGATATACACCTGAACATCAGCAGGAGAGGACTCTTTAAAGTAGAGACACTACATACTGATATACACCTGAACATCAGCAGGAGAGGACTCTTTAAAGTAGAGACACTACATACTGATATACACCTGAACATCAGCAGGAGAGGACTCTTTAAAGTAGAGACACTACATACTGATATACACCTGAACATCAGCAGGAGAGGACTCTTTAAAGTAGAGACACTACATACTGATATACACCTGAACATCAGCAGGAGAGAACTCTTTAAAGTAGAGACACTACATACTGATATACACCTGAACATCAGCAGGAGAGAACTCTTTAAAGTAGAGACACTACATACTGATATACACCTGAACATCAGCAGGAGAGGACTCTTTAAAGTAGAGAGACTACATACTGATATACACCTGAACATCAGCAGGAGAGGACTCTTTAAAGTAGAGACACTAAATACTGATATACACCTGAACATCAGCCGGAGAGGACTCTTTAAAGTAGAGACACTAAATACTGATATACACCTGAACATCAGCCGGAGAGGACTCTTTAAAGTAGAGACACTACATGCTGATATACACCTGAAAGTGAGCAGAATATGTCCTTCTTAGTAAGACCCATACTACCTCATGGAAGAATATTGACTTTATTTTTGAAGAGAAAACTTTCAGAACAGTCAGAAATGTTTTTTTTAAACATCCAGTATCTTCCGGCCACAACAGCTTGAGGCACTTTGGCACAGTCCCCAGCTTTGGTGTTTGGATCCGTGTGATGATTCCTCCACCAGATGCTAAACCCCTCATACCTGAGAAGGTTACATAAACGCAGAACTGTAAGATGTCTCCTCTCTCGTTGTCCCTCCAGTGGCCAGCGGAGGTGTGAGCTTGTGTTTGAACAGGAGTAAATCTTGAGAACTGGCCATGTGTTTACTTGGCAGCCGTCTCTATTTATAAAGCCGAGCCCCAGTGAGTTGTCCGGCCGCTGCTGATCACACTCTATTAGCTGCCCTCGCCTCATTTACCAAAGACAAACACAAGCTTAGCTCCTGCTTTGAAGACGCAAACAATTAAAACTCCACATTCTGTGCTGTATGTCAGCGAGGGAGCCGTGTTCAGAGCTGTTTGTGTTTTCCCCACATTTCTAATCAATAGCAGCTTTAAAGGGGCACATTGGCTGGAAGTGATGTTTCCTGAAGCTGTGTGTTGCCACTGTACTGAGAACTCTTTTTTTATGGATTTGACCAAAATGACCTGCCTTTACCGCTGATACCGTAAAGTTAATGTCCTGAACGGAGATATACTGACCATGACCGTGGCGCTAATTACATTTCTTTCCCCTCCTCGATGAAGACCTAAATCAAAGCCATGTAGTATTTAGCGGTGTGTTTTCTACCTTTTCTATTTTGCACACAATGCAGCTCAACCTCGCACAATTACACACCATACAATTACACACGGAGGGAGGCTGTGGCTCAGTGGGTAGTGTGCTGGACTTCGAATCAGGGGATAGCAAGTTCGAGTCCCACTGCAGTCAGCATGTCGTTGTGCTCCTGTGGG